TTTGATGTGCAACACACCAGCAGATTCACGTGTGCGCTTGACTCTTTATCATCGCCATAACATACTAAAATATGCTAACTTTCGTATTAAAAAACACATGTTGTCTAAAACTGGAATATGACTTGATTGCATTAAAGATCTAAACGTAGACGGAACAACCCAATCCGTGTATTTTTTCAAGGATCATTGATTTGAAGTCGTACTCTCCACGAAGATACTTGACTTCAACACAAGATGGATTGTATGAATATATGCAATTCTGTTTATCAATATTTTGAAACTTTCGTACGCACAAATTGTCAATTAAAAAGTAAAATCACAAAAATACTGAACTCCGAGGGAAATTCAAAAAAGAAAGTCCCCAATCAAATGGCAAAATCAAAAAAACAAACACATCAAACGAATGGATAACAACTGTCATATTCCTGACTTGGTACAGGCATTTTCTTATGTCGAAAATGGTGGATTGAACCTGGTTTTATAGCTACCTTAACCTCTCACTTGTATGACAGTCGCATCAAATTCCATTATATTAACAACGATGCGTGAACAAAACAAACAGACACAAATTTCCCATTTGTGCACATGCGCAGATATGTAACCAACATGGTTAAGATTAACCCGAATAATCCAGTTGTTTCATTCCGATAATTCCAATAATTAATCTACTAATGACAATTATTACACCAATCAGAGAATTATTATCATGACCTATTAATGCTCCAAAATCAGAGAATTATTATCATGACCTATTAATGCTCCAAGACAAGCCATCAACATTTAATTTTTTTTTCATGTGTTTTCATGAATTTCGAGAATTTATACCATATATATAACTGAATAAGTTTAATTAAAATTGAATATCCTTAATATTAATATTTTAAATAAATGAAAGGACGTATAAAACGTCATTGATAAAAGTAAGTAGAAGGAACTTAGGGCGAACGTACTCTATGGGCGGAAGAACATAGGACGAACAGACCAAGGGCGAACTTTTAAAAAGGGCGAACCAACCCGATACCAAATTCACGAATGCGTACTGCAATAATCTACATTAAAAACATCCGGTTACAAGTAAACAAATAACGTTCATGTAAGATGAGATGAAATCTAATAATTTACATAAATAAAAGGGTATATATTTTTACATTAAAACATGAGAAACTATAACACTTACGATAGTGATTGTTTTTCAAGCCTAACTTATAAATTAAATGATGCAGATGCTTAATCATGTGTAAAAATCGGTGTCACGAAATGGCACGGAAGTTGTAATGAAATTGTAATACACAGAAAGGGATACGGCATACAACCTGGTAATGGTTCAATGATTTTACAACCGGCAGTAAAGGCTTTCAGAAGACTTGAAGTCTTCTTCCACCAAAAACCTGGAAAACTGCTTCTAACATACAAATTGACTTCTACATCACACTTCAGCGTTACCACCATTGCACTTCGGTGTTGCTATCAACAAGATTGCGTCACAAAGCCACTATTGCACTTCAGTGTGATCAAAAATGCACTTCACAGTCAAAACATCGCACCTCAGCATGACCATTGCCGTTTGGAGTACCATCACAGTTCAGAGACCTACATATTATAAGATGCATCTCTAATTCTGTTATATTGTTTGAAAACACCAAATCACAGAATAATGGAACAAGAACATAACAAAAACAGAAAATTAAAGACCAAAATAATACAAGTAAAATGACTGAAAAAAAAGATCAGTAGTTGTTGTTTGTTGATGTGGTTCATAAGTGTTTCTTGTTTCTCGTTTTTTATATAGATTAGACCGTTAGTTTTCCCGTTTGAATGGTTTTACACAAGTCATTTTTGGGGCCCTTTATAGCTTACTGTTCGGTGTGAGCCAAGGCTCCGATTTGAAGACCGTACTTTGACGTATAATGGTTTACTTTTATAAATTTTGACTTGGATGGAGAGTTGTCTCATTGGCACTCATACCACATCTTCTTATATCTATATATGATATATACTACACATCGGTGTTGCCATTGGGAACAATACACAAGAGAACAAACAAGGCAATTTCATTTATTCCTTTAACATCACTTATACATAACAAAAGACCAAAATAACACACATGAGATTACATGAGATTACATCAAAACAAATACTCTCAACGGTAAGATAAAAATAGTCAACACTAGTCATCTTCAATATTTCATACGTAATTGGTTTGCTAGAAAATAAACAAAACAGACCTTTTCTCAATAATATGCAATAAAATTTAACTTAGTATGTAATAGTTAAAAACAGTAAAAGTTACTCAAATTTTTCAAGGAATATGTAACATTTTACCATTCAAAGATGGCTTCTTAGCAAATGCCCATATTGTAATGAAATGGTCTATTGTTACGGTACAGTAAAGGATGATGTCTGAAAGAGTTTTAAACTCATCAGCATGCCTCATCTGTTAATAAATCTATAACTCTTTTATTTTTCGTATATTATCTATAACCTAAGGGTAATATCAAAATGGACCTCTAGAAATATCAGTCTTTGTTCTTACTGCTCATACAAAAGTAATATTATAAGCACGCAAAACCTAAGGAAAATAGTCATAGAAACCTTCCCATAAAGATTTAAACTGAAAATAAACTCAAAAACAGAGATTTTATAGTACAAAGTTTTGGCATAAAACATATTTTGGAAGATTTTTGTGATGCTTACTAGTAATTTATACACATAAAAACAGAATAGTTATCAAAAGTACAAAATGGGAGTATAGGTAATCTATTTTACATAAATATACTACTATATGAAGCTTACACTTGCCAAAAAACCTTATTTCATTTACTTTTATGCTGACCACAGAGTATAAGACTTGTTTGCTCATAAGCATCTGTCTAAACTACAGTAATGTTGTGCTTATGTTGAACCAAATTGTGGAGTGCATTCCATCCAGCAACAAACTTTGCATGTATATTCATTTTTTCTTTTCATGAATGTATATGATACAGTAGTTTTAGCTAGTGTGTCAAAGAAAAAGTTCTCCGTGATTAATATTTAGCCGTTTATATGCTTGAAATTCTGAACTACACTAGAGGATCTAAGACTTTTGCAACAGAACTTGTGTAATTCACAGCTATATATTTCTTCATGGAAAAAATACAGAAAAAGGAAATGAAATTGGTCCCAGGTCTTTTAGTAATAAATAAGGTCATTTGGCAAACATTTATACAAATAAGGTAATTTACTGTGCAGACTGAAAATGATCTTCTGAATGGTCATTGTATATAACTGGCAAAAAATCATTGATCAAAAACAGTGGAATGGCAGAATTTATGTGCTGCCATCTATACTATGTTAACATCAGAAATATGAACTTATCAATATTATAGGACAAATTATGCAATAACAAGTTATAGTTAAATAGGACTGATATTTCATGACATTTCTACATATCAGTGGGGTTTATATATACTATTACCACTCTCCCATATATAAATATTTATACAACTCTTAGAGCACTGCAACAGAATTACACTCAACACTATATATAATAAACATTATCTTTCCATAGAAAATAGAACCTATTTTGAACATAACAAAATCATTAATCCTTCTACACACTGAACATCATAACAGTAGCTTTGCCTTCGTGTACGGGCTATTTATATATTGGGGTACATTATGGTAGCAAATACCCTCGAGAAAAATATGTATACTGCATCTCAATGATGTTTGTGTATGAATCCAAGCAGAATATATCTGGATACCGAAAATGTACATGAAGAATTTCAAGTTATTTCAGAATATTGTTTGATATTTTTGTTTTTTTCATCAACAAGCAGTTACAACTCTATAAATGATTTAGTATAATTATATTCTATAATTAATTAATAACAAAAATCTCTATAAACGATATCTAATAATCTCTATGTGTTACAAAATCTCTAAATTATCATGTCCAATACACATTGAATCAAGAACGTCTTCATTGATTCAATGTTATAAAGAAAAACAAACAATAATATAAACAGGTTAAAACATTGCCAAAGACAAAATTTTAATATAACACATACAATAAATGAACAGGTTAAAACACATCTATTATGAACCCTACACATATAATCAAGGAACAAAATGTTAATAAAGGTAACCTCCTTAAAATAAATCAAGTAAACTCATCCATTCTGATACAAGTCATACATCCTTATAGATTTTAGTTATCTCAAACCTTCCATTCCTTCTTCCTTACAATATATACTCCCATCCAACCTTGTCACTCAAACAGCATTAAATTAAGCTTTCATATATCAAACATTGGTTTATTCACCACAAGGAAAGAAAATAATGTAACGTACAAATTATCTACCAATTTTAAAGTATCTAGCAATCTCTGCAACTACTTGTGACTGGTTTTATAAGGGAGGCAAGTTCTGATTATTTTTTTTTTATCATTTATTTTCAAAATTTGTAGTGGTCTCAAAATTTCAGTTTCAATATCTCTTTATTGTGTTTAGGTTGTTCCAGAAATAAATATAGAAGGGTATAGAAAAAGAATTTTATTTCATTTCACTCTGCATAAAATTTAAATTAATCACTTTCATGTTCCCCTGAGGGCTGCTCTAAAGAAATACCAAGCACCAATCAATTTTTTATAAAAAAAGGACTTAATTACCCTTCCCCTATACAAATATTTCTGCAATTTCTTCAACAAAAAGACTCATTTATCATAAAAATAAAACCTGTCATCAGCTGTTCAAACATGATTAATGGAATGCCCAATTTCTATTTATTTCTTCTCAAAATATTTTTGAAATGTGCAATTTTTCCTTTTTCCTAAGCAAATAAAGCTCACTTCTTATTGATATTTAGCAGTTCATGTTTAGGAGTATAATTCTACCTATTATTATTCACAGTACAACTATCTCATGGGATTTCATTTTGTAATCAAAACTTTAAATCATTTTTTTTATAAACTTTATATGAACTATTAATTGCAAAAGACTAATCAATCACAAAATGCAAGATTAACTGATAATCTATTTGCAATAATAGTAAATTCATGGCATTTAAAAATTCATGGAAATAATTAATTCCAGTCTGGGAAATACCCTTGACTTAAATTGGGATATAAAAAAAGCAGTGAAAATAATTACAAAATATTATGCATTACCCTTAAAACTCAAAAATTGTCAAAATTAACAGAATCTGACTAACTGTTCCATTTCACACAAATACAAGTATTTCTGAATCTGTACAATACATATTACATATCACTAAAACTACCACAATACCTAATAAAAAGGTTATTTGGTTTTACAACTTTGGTTTAAAAGGTTTTGATAAATTTTATTTTGTTCATACAGAGATATGCTTAGAGAAATATATAAATTTTGAGACCTTGACTTATTTACACTACTCTGGTGGTTTACAGTTATGGCAAGTACTATATAATGAAGTATTATTCGGGGGTTCAGAAATAACACCAGTTAATACCAACTAATTCTGGACTATGCTGATATCACATTTATATGAATCATTCACATAACAATCCCTATACCACATATCATTAACATACTTCAAGAGATTCTAAATTTCCATCATTATCTAGTTATAGACCAACATCATACCAAAAATCATCCACACATTTCAAGTAATTCAAATTTCCTCAGTGTCACTCTTATTCATATGAAATATCATCAACATATTACAACTGTTTCAAGAGTATCAGTAACTAGAAATACCAAAACTACCAACTATTCACAATTCAGCCTGTAGTTATAATCATCATACCAAATATCATTGACATACAGCAACTAATTCAAAGTTTATATGAAAATCTCTACTAAAAATTAACATTTATTAATGAACATACTTCAAAAGATTAAATATCAAAGCAAAGCATTACCATTGGATCAGCAAAATAATGCAAATGAATCAAAATTTATGAGTTTTGTTCTTACTAATAATTTTTATTTTAACTATCATCAACATAATTCAAATCTGTCTATATCATAATGAGGTCCAATAATATTATCTTAAAATAAGTGTTTGTGATGTTAGGAAAAAGTTAAATGCACAGACTATATACTGAAATAACCAGTCAACATAGTAGTATAATCTGGACATGATATTTATACAAAACAGACTACACTTTGAAACCAACATGATTTAAGCAAATATAATGGATTATAAATATTCTTCTGTTTAGTCAACTGGAAATATCCTTGTATGAAGTTATAAATTATAATCGAAATTCTAAATTTGTCAAATTTAGTAGTTTTCTGGTTTCAAATTAAAAAAAGAGCACTGTCTTATGCCACAATAAATATTATAAATAATTTCCCACTAACAAATTAATGCAATACAGAAAAAATATGAAATTTATATACCCATGGAAAGACATAAAAAAATAAAATTTAATGAAATTTACATAAAAATACCATGATAATAATTCTATTGGATGTACTGTAATGTTATATAATGGAAAGTACCCAGGTGATCTGATGGAATGTTTTAGCAGAATAAAAAGGATGGAAAAGTTTTAAAAACTGCTGTCAAAATAATGAAAAATAAGATTTCATGAAAAACAATATACCAGCATGTACATGACCATCAGAGCTGTTCAATTAATCATGCAAAGTATTAGGAAAATGTCAAATATAACAAAGGGTGGATTGAACATCTTTACTTATAAATGCTATTTTCAATAAATATAAAAAATACCAAATAATTTGAATTTTTTTTTAGTGCTTTGTTGAGTACTTCACATGTTTATCTGAAATTGCCCACATCACCAATATTCCAAGTTGAAAAAGAGCATATGCCTGAAATTTTATCTGTGCATGGTATTTGTTCAGAATGAAGAATGAGATAAAGCCCAAACCCTACAATTTTTTAACTTATTTTCATGGTATTTTTAATTATAGTATAACAATGGTAATTTTATTTCATTTTATTTTCTTTTGATACACGTTTAGTCACTCGTCCACAGGTAATTCCTATTAGAAATATAACACCTATTATTGAACAAATAACTCCAAGAAGATAGGTTTTTGCAGGTGAAGATGAAATTTGTGCTACTAATTCATTTACACTTTCAACTGGAGCAACCTAAAAAAAAGAGAAAATAAATACTTATTAATATACAAAATGTTGTCTATAAATTAGTATTCTTAAATAAGAAAATCCCCATCTGTTTACAATAAATAACAATGTCATTTTATATGCAGTCCAACAATTCAAATCTTCAACAACAAAAAAACAACATTATTTTTTATTACTTTTTAAACTTAAGTAATACTTGGTTCTATTCTGAAAGGAGAAACCATTAACTGTCTTTTTTTTGTGTAAAAATCTTGAATGTTAATTCATACATATATTAGCCATGAAACATGTGTTGATTATATATATATATATATATATATATACATATTGCAGTTTATATCTTAATGAAGAAACTAGAATAAGGTGATCTAAGATTACAGATACAGATGCTTGCAGAATATTTACCAGTAAATCCCAAAAAGCAAAATTAAAATTAAATGTGACTTGTACTTTATGTTTTATAATATTGTGTTAAAATCCAAAATGATTTTGTCATACAATACTTTCATTTTTACCTGGAAACCTAACAATTCCAATTTTTTTTTATTACTTGGGGGATAACTCTATAAAGTTAAATGAAAAAACAATCAAAATGAAACTTGTCCCACATTTTATAATCAACGACATTGTGTTCAAGTTTCTAAAGAGCTGGTGAAGTGGTACTTTAAATATCATCTGGAATCCAAAATAAATTTAAATTTAAGGTAACTAAGGACATGACTCTTGAGCAGTAAATGTCAAAACTATCAATGACATTGTGGTCAAGCTTCAAGAGATGGTTAAGCGATATTTTCACGATCATCTGGAAACCAAAGAAAACGCTTCTTTTAAGGTAACTTAGGCACAACTCTTAAACTGTAAATGTCAAAATCATTAAAAATTGAACTTGACCTGTATTTTATGGTCCACGACATTATGTTAAAATTTCAAAAGATTTGGTTCAGAGGTATAAAATGTACGTTAATCATCATTCAGAAAACAGTTTTCCTTGACAAAGAAGAAAAAAGTCTGTAACAGCAACACGAAGCCACCTTTTTTGGGTCTCCATAATTCATAAACCAGAATTTTAAAACTGTTGCTAGTTACATGTTAAAAATACAAAATTAAACAAGGGAACAATCAAATACGGTTTTATTCTTTTACTGATAAGTATCATTTATAGAGAAGTGATGTCTGTAATAATTGAAATTTCCAATCACCTATAGTGATAGTAATCTTTACTGAAGGAACAGCAAATTAAAGGTTTCAAGCCCATATTTTCACTGACCATGTTCACACCAGATTTGTTGCTGTTCCTCCAGTAAAGATTAATGGTGTAACTAACGTGTTAGTCTACAGAGTAACTTCCTAAGGATGTCAGTTTGAAGCAATGCAAGAAGCGTCTTGTATTGCTAATAAACAACTACTGTTTCAATGACTGAATAATGACATAATTAAATTATTGCTTGTAGGTTTGTTTGAATATTACATTAAAACCTTATCATTGCATGTAGGTCTGTTTGATGATTACATTTAAACCTTATCATTGTATGTAGGTCTGTTTGAATATTACATTTAAACCTTATCATTGCATGTAGGTCTGTTAGATTATTACATTTAAACCTTATTGTTGCATGTAGGTCTGTTTGATTATTACATTTAAACCTTATCATTGCATGTAGGTCTGTTTCAATATAAAATTTAAACCTTATTGTTGCATGTAGTTCTGTTTGATTATTACATTTAAAACTTATCATTGTTTGTAGGTCTGTTTGAATATTACATTTAAACCTTATCATTGCATGTAGATCTGTTTGATTATTACATTTAAACCTTATTGTTGCATGCACGTCTGTTTGATGATTACATTTAAACCTTATCATTGTATGTAGGTCTGTTTGAATATTACATTTAAACCTTATCATTGCATGTAGGTCTGTTTGATTATTACATTTAAACCTTATTGTTGCATGTAGGTCTGTTTGATTATTACATTTAAACCTTATCATTGCATGTAGGTCTGTTTCAGTATAACATTTAAACCTTATCATTGCATGTAGGTCTGTTTCAATATAACATTTAAACCTTAGTGTTGCATGTAGGTCTGTTTGATGATTACATTTAAAACTTATCATTGTTTGTAGGTCTGTTTGATGATTACATTTAAACCTTACCATTGTATGTAGGTCTGTTTGAATATTACATTTAAACCTTATCATTGTATATAGGTCTGTTTGATAATTATTTAAACATTATCGTTGCATGTAGGTCTGTTTGATTATTACATTTAAACCTTATCATTGCATGTAAGTCTGTTTAATTATTACATTTTAACCTTATCATTGTATGTAGGTCTGTTTGATTATTACATTTTAACCTTATTGTTGCATGTAGGTCTGTTTGATTATTACATTTAAACCTTATCATTGCATGTAGGTCTGTTTCAATATAAAATTTAAACCTTATTGTTGCATGTAGTTCTGTTTGATTATTACATTTAAAACTTATCATTGTTTGTAGGTCTGTTTGAATATTACATTTAAACCTTATCATTGCATGTAGATCTGTTTGATTATTACATTTAAACCTTATTGTTGCATGCACGTCTGTTTGATGATTACATTTAAACCTTATCATTGTATGTAGGTCTGTTTGAATATTACATTTAAACCTTATCATTGCATGTAGGTCTGTTTGATTATTACATTTAAACCTTATTGTTGCATGTAGGTCTGTTTGATTATTACATTTAAACCTTATCATTGCATGTAGGTCTGTTTCAGTATAACATTTAAACCTTATCATTGCATGTAGGTCTGTTTCAATATAACATTTAAACCTTAGTGTTGCATGTAGGTCTGTTTGATGATTACATTTAAAACTTATCATTGTTTGTAGGTCTGTTTGATGATTACATTTAAACCTTACCATTGTATGTAGGTCTGTTTGAATATTACATTTAAACCTTATCATTGTATATAGGTCTGTTTGATAATTATTTAAACATTATCGTTGCATGTAGGTCTGTTTGATTATTACATTTAAACCTTATCATTGCATGTAAGTCTGTTTAATTATTACATTTTAACCTTATCATTGTATGTAGGTCTGTTTGATTATTACATTTTAACCTTATTGTTGCATGTAGGTCTGTTTGATTATTACATTTAAACCTTATCATCATATGTAGGTCTGTTTGAATATAACATTTAAACCTTATTGTTGCATGTAGGTCTGTTTGATTATTACATTTAAAACTTATCATTGTATGTAGGTCTGTTTGAATACAACATTTAAACCTTATCATTGCATGTAGGTCTGTTTGAATATAAAATTTAAACCTTATTGTTGCATGTAGGTCTTTTTGAATATTACATTTAAACCTTATTGTTGCATGTAGGTCTGTTTGATTATTACATTTGAACCTTATTGTTGCATGAAGGTCTCTTTGATTATTACATTTAAACCGTATCAGAAAGAGGTTTGCTTGTTTTTTTGGTGTAAACTTTTCTTATAGCATTTATATTAAGCTGAGCAAAAGTTTGATAAAACACTCAAAATACCTTGTAATGTTCTAAGTGTTAACCTGATAAATGAAAGTTTGTTTTACATCTCAAATATGAAAACTGTACATGGTCTTGTTTGAGCTCACTTGACCGTTAGTTTCGTGCAAACTATTGTAACATTAGTTGTTCATTGTTTGAGAAAAATGAAGGTCTAATGGTGATCCACATCTATTGTTTTTTTTTTTTTTTTTTTTAATATAATAAGTAAAGGATAAATCATCTGGTATCTAATTTGTACTATGTTTAGAAAGGCAGCTACTTGGCAGTGTCAATAATCTACATATCCTTATCGCTATGTTACTATTTTTTTTACTCAATATTAGTGTTAGAATTTAAACAATTCATATTGTTGAGTTTAAAGAAAAAAAACTAGATTTGAATTTAACAAAAAGATGTATATTCAAGATTTTATCTTTTTCATACCACCAAATATTTTGTCATATTAAGAGATTTTATACCAAAAAAATAAATAAATAGAAAAACTTTCTAATAACACAAGATCTCATTTTTACGTGAAAAAAAGGAAGGGTTATTGAACATTACCGTAGATACTCGCCTAATAGTCGATCCTACTATAAGTCGGGGTCCCTTTTCAGCTCCAAATTCTAAGGATTTAGTCTTGACCCTCGTATAAGTCGGACAAAATTTGGGCATTTTCAGCTGACAGTAACTGAACGCCGGTAAAACCAATGCAAATCCAGGAATAATATTCATTTCTGCATTAATGTTTGTTTGGTTTGAATTTAGTTGATGCTCATCATGATAATTTATATTGCTGTTAATAATAAAGATGTATTCATTTCTCTTGTTTTGTTCACTGTTCAAATGTTAGATTAGCCATGTGTTGTTTACGTAATGCATCAATGATTTTGTAGGGTATGACTAACAACCTATTGTTTGAGAAAAGCGAATATAAACCAATATGAACCTGAAAAATTTAAAGTCAATCAACACTTGATGAAAATATTTTTCACAGCATACATAACTCTGTGTTAAATGAGCATGTACACTTCATAATTCTTATTATATTGTGATGATTAAAGGATTAAAAAAATTAAGTGAAGCTAATCAATATATTAAAATAACTAACTCCAACTCATTAGTGTCATCTGTTTACCTATCACTGATAGTTTTCACACCTTTAGTGAATACAACTCTTTGTCTCTTAATTGGGGTTATCAATGGATTATATTGGCTTGTCAATCAATTTTGTAATTTTTGTTTACCTGAGACACTATAATGAATAATATTTTGATTTTGGGAATGAATCTTAAAATTATTTTTTGATTATTATATGATTTATAAGCATTGAATTGATATCATGATATCACAATAATGACACAATAACTCCGCTGAAAACATCCTTTCACATATTTGGTACATTGTTATCTCCTTTTCATTTTTGGTTCTTGGCTCTTCTTTTGGGTTTATAGGAAAACCATGTGACCATGAAAATCAATACACAAACCGGAAACAGTAGAATTTCAACACGAATTTGCAGAAAATGTTTACCAAAGAACAAATAAAACACAAAGACAGTATTGAAGTCATTTATTTTCAACAAAAACTTTTTATTTATTGATTTATGTAGGTTTGGCAATCAAAAACGTAGTTTTGACCAGGAAATTCACTCCTGACCACTTTTCTCAAGCTTGGATTTTTCCTCTGGTCGCTAGATCTCGTCTATTAGTCGGCCCCCCTCTCTGGATTATGAATTTTACTCTCAATTTTCCGACTAATAAGCGAGTAGGAACGGTAATCATCCTATCACCAACATTAACCTTTTAAAGTCAAAATTACACGTGTTAAAGCACTACTATTTTGCAAGTGGTCACTTCTTCCGTAATTTGTTTTATAAGGTGAAAACTGCTCATTTCAATGAATTCATATTTTCAATAAAATTAACTGCAGACATTCATCATTATCAGACATATATATTACCATACACAGGCAAATTTTGTTCACGTAAATTTCACGTGAAAATCACGTGAATTTCACATGAAATTTTTCACGTGAGATTCACCTCAAACGAGCTTATACATGAAACTCACGTTTTATTTACGTGAATTTCACGTGAATCGAGCTTTCACATGATATTCACGTGAAATTTTTCACATGAAATTAACGTGAAATGAGACTCACGTGAAATTCACGTGAACAAAATTTGCCTGTGTACCAATCAATATTTTTTAAATCTGCTTATTGTGATTAAGAAGTTTTGGTTTTCCAATGCAATCAGTAGGAAATATTTTGCCAAGAATTCAGACATAATTAGATACACAAGTTCAGCAGCTTATGATGTACAAACTGTGAAGCAAAATGACAGATGACAAATAATATTATTATACTTCACGTTAAAATGCCATATTTTGATTGGCTAATACGAGGGTGTTAATTTACTCTATTACCCTTCACGGAGACGCTTGATCAATTGTGCGCTTTATAAAATACGACTCTATCCTATGGCAAATACTCTATTACCCTTCACGGAGACGCTTGATCAAGTGTGCGCTTTATTAAATACGGATGGTTGTTATGTACAAGACGTCATAGTTTATTACTTTGAATTTGAAATTTAATCGACAGTAATAACAGAACATTCAGTATAATAAATTAAATAACACATAGCTGAGAGGGTGATAGAGCAGATTGTTACCCCTTGAAAAGACATTGTCAACCTTGGCTTCGCCTCAGTTGACAATGTTTTCTCGGGGTAACAATCTGCTCTATCACCCTCTCAGCTATGTGTTATTTATTTAATGATTTAAGACAACATTCAGAGGGAATGCATTTTATTTGCAGCCTATTCAAAGCAGACAGGCATTAAAGGTATGTCTGATTTGGTCTCTAGTCACCAGTAAATCACCTCTCCATGTCACATAATTGTCAATAAAATTAACCCACCTGCACTGACATTTCCCACAAATCTTTTCTACGTTTTAATTGTTCATGGCATCTTTTATCCAGTCTATTGGGATGGTCTTCATATTCTTGTAAAAGGCATGTCATTTCTGAAGTTGAAAAGATTGAAAATGTACATATTAATTTTTACAAATTAACTGAATTTCAATGATAAATCAAAAATAGTTTCCTTTCCTTTGCTTGCTATACATAAAGATAAAACAGTTTATTGAAAATGTAAAAGATTTACTTTTGAACTGAATACAAGTTCAAAGTTGGTTTATTCTTTAAAACAAAAAATTCAAGTATTTTTCTGTGATGGTTAGATATACTTTAGATGGATAAGTTAATACATTTCCTTGTTAGGATGTAAAATCAACTTTTGTAAAAAATCTTGTTTACTATCTGACATTTTTATGTATTTAATTGCTTTAGAAGTGATATATTTACTTGTATATCAAAAGATAAAGTAAATTGTCAAATACTCACTTCTACCTTCACCAGCCTCTACATCTGTACAAAATTTATGTAAATCTTTCTGACAAGCAGTATGTAATATTGGATCTATGTTAATATCTATCTCAGATTCCTGGATAATTCTCGCAATTTGCTGCAAAAAAAAAAAAAAGGAACTTTCCTAAGTTTTAAGAGGTTTATATGAATAAAAGATGTGAGAAATGTGTCAATGAGACAGCAACCCAGCAACACATAAAACCTAGACTTATAGAAAACATTTGGTCTTAAACAAGATTTTTTCCCCAATATAGTATGTCAAGCTCTAACTAACTCCATGTCTAAAAAAAAACAATTATATAAAATTTATAGGCAATATCAAAGATCGTCTAGTTTCAGAAAACAAGAGTGCACACGCTGAAATGTCTCGCCTTCTTTACTAATCATTGATATTATGTTGATAGTCCTAAATATAAAGCTTTATTACAACTGTCACATAAACTTAACATTAACCAAGTAAACTAAACATTGACCAGTGAACCATGAAAATGAGGTCAAGGTCAGATGAACCATGCTAGGCAGGCATGTACAGCTAACAATTCTTCCATACAACAAATATAGTTGACCTATTGCTTATAGTTTAAGATAAAAAACAGACCAAAACACAAAAACTTAACACTGAGCAATGAACCTTGAAAATGAGGTCAAGGTCAAATAAAACCTGCGTGACTGCCAAATAGATCATAAAATATTTCCATACACCAAATATAGTTGAACTATTGCATATAGTATTAGAAAAAAAGACCAAAACTCAAAAAACTTAACTTTGACCACTGAACCATGAAAATGAGGTCAAGGTCAGATGACACCTGCCCGCTAGACATGTACACCTTACAATAATTCCATACACCAAATATAGTAGACCTATGGCATACAGTATAAGAAAAACAGACCAAAACACAAAAACTTAACTATAACCACTGAACCATGAAAATGAGGTCAAGGTCAGATGACACCTGCCAGTTGGACATGTACACCTTACAGTCCTTTCATACACCAAATATACTAGACCTATTGCTTATAGTATCTGAGATATGGACTTGACCACCAAAACTTAACCTTGTTCATTGATCCATGAAATGAGGTCGAGGTCAAGTGAAAACTGTCTGACGGGCATGAGGACCTTGCAAGGTACGCACATACCAAATATAGTTATCCTATTACTTATAATAAGAGAGAATCTAACATTACAAAAAATCTTAACTTTTTTTTCAAGTAGTCACTGAACCATGAAAATGAGGTCAAGGACATTGGACATGTGACTGACGGAAACTTCGTAACATGAGGCATCCATATACAAAGTATGAAGCATCCAGACCTTTCACCTTCTAAAATATAAAGCTTTTAAGAAGTTAGCTAACGCCGCCGCCGCCGGATCACTATCCCTATGTCGAGCTTTCTGCGACAAAAGTCGCAGGCTCGACAAAAACCACATATTTATCTGTCAATATCAGAGTTGACAAAATCAACTTTATTTTGTTCTTTCATTTATCTTTTCTAAAAGTTGCTTTCCTTCCATAGCTAAGCCTTTAAATGATGAACATACATTAGTTGTGTACTGTGTGTAATTCATGGTAAATAAGGGAATTTATTCATACTGGTAGGACATTTTAAGTTGAGCATAGTAGGCAGAAATTGTTACTGTGAAATGTTCAATGTAAGACAAGCATCTTAAAACATGTAAAAGGTTGTTGCAAAATATAGATGTATGCTTTAAATAAATATTGACTAATCTATGGTTTACTGGGCCAAATCTTTTTAATACATTGCCTTGGGAAAAAAGAGGTAACAACAATATTTAGGAAAAGATGAAAATGTCAGAAGCCACAATAACCTTTATTCTATTTACACAGAGCATCGTTCTCACCTGTTTACATTCTGTATTTTTTATTAATCGCTCTTTAAATTTGTTCATTAAACATTGCTGAACTTCTCCTTTACTGTCGTCTTGAGACATTTGGAGAACACTATTAGAGTCTCTTTCTCCAGCTCCTTGTAATGCCTTCTGATGCTCAGGATCACAGTGTTGTTTTATCTGAAATTAACAGAATACTTATTTGAGCTACCTTACAAAAATCCTAATTTATGGCCTGATCCATAAAAACCACAATTTTTTTCATTATCCAAGTATCACATATAAATGTATTACAAAAGTTATTGTATGAATTATTAAATCTAAGGAGTTTACTAAAAACATTTAAAAACAAGAATGTGTCCATAGTACACGGATGCCCCACTCCCACTATCATTTTCTATGTTCAGTGGACAGTCAAATTGGGGTCAAAACTCTAATTTGGCATTAAAATTAGAAAGATCATATCATAGGGAACATGTGTACTAAGTTTCAAGTTGATTGGACTTCAACTTCATCAAAAACTACCTTGAACAAAAACTTTAACCTGAAGCGGGACAGACAGACTAACGGACGAACGAACGGACGCACAGACCGAAAAACATAATGCCCCTCTACTATCGTAGGTGGGGCATAAAAAATAAGGTCCATCATATATAATTCACCTTACAAACAGAACTATTTGTATCCCCCCCTGTAACTCTTTTACTACAGAAATGAACAAACTTATATATTGTAGGATTTTTCTAATCACCAAACATATATTTTCATTACTTCCAAAAATCTTCCAAACTTTTCAAATTTACAACAGAGACTGATATAGCAATACCATAACAGCTTGATGTTAAAATCTCCTCTAAGTATTAAAGACATAAGAATAACTTGAGAACAAATATAACTAACATAGAAATTTACTGGTGTTATGACACAGTAGATAGTTAGATTGGTCCATGAATCAGGATGATATGTTGGGAGAATAACTGATCTATTATCTGATGTAGAATTTACCTTATTCTTAAACCTACTTTTAATCTGTCTCCTTCTGACACATATTTAAATACTTAGTTTTGATATACAATTTACCTCACTCTCACAAGCATTAGCCAATGCTACATCCTCCATATAATTCATTGCTGATTCTTTAATGACATCTCTTATTACATCTGTACATCTACCAGACAAATTCTGAAACAGATAAAAATCAATTCACTTTAGTTGATTCCCTTTAGAAAATATTCAATGAAGAAATTTCAATATATTTCAAAGTCATCAAAATGCATGAAAAAGTCTTCCACTATTCGATTTCATAAAAGAACCGTTGACAAACAGTACTATCACAAATATTTTATATGAGGCCAATACTCCTGAGTTACTGAAAAAAGTCCTGATGAATTAGATACAAAATAATCATAGATGTTTTTGTTTATACAGAGTGTGTGTTCCTTCCAAAGGGCTGACTTATACAAAAACAAAATCTGCATACAGATATATGTATCAGTTATCAGAATGCAAGTTCTTATTACTGCAATACTCACCCAGTTGCACTATTTGCTTTATAAAAAACCTCACAATAATTTCTAAATTTACAGCATTCCTACCTTTTTAACAAATTGTCTTCTTAAACATAAAATAACTTGACCACTCATTTCTTGGTCTGGTGCAGCTCTCTCTACAATATCAGTACAGAACTTTCTGATATCCATACTGCATTCCTTCCGTAAAGTAGGATTTAGTCTGTAATCTAAAAACAAAAAGTCTTATATTAAACATAGTTTTTCCTTTCTACAAATTACATGTGAGAATGCACTTCAAGAAAATAATATGGAGACACTTTGAAAATCCAGTACATACCAAACTATGGGTTTTGCTCATTGTTGAAGACCTTACAGTGACCTATACCTATTAACTTCTATGTCATTTGGTCTTTGGTGGAGAGTTGTCTCATTGGCAGTTATACCTCATCTTCTTATTTTTATAGAGATTTACAGGGGACTGTATTGCAAACTTGGCAGCCTTGTTTATCTCTTTAAGTATCCCCCAAATAAACTGGTCAGTAAGTGCCTCAGAACAAAGAAAAAAACAAACAAAAAAACTAGTATATCTATTGGCATTAGTAACAAGATAAGATAGCTACCTCTATTTTTAGTGATCTGTCTTCTGACCAGTATCTCCCGACAGCTTGCATCAAAGTTAGGATCATGTTTATGACCAACTAAACATGTTACTATATCAGGATCCCCATCTGTACAGTATTGCTGTTAAAATAACAAAGTAAACAATAGAACCTCTTCTATAAATAAATGTATGAAGTGCAAAATTTGACTTGTGTTTATCACTGGGTGTTTTTCTTGTAGTGGTAACCGATATATCAGCATTTATTTTTTACAATCTACATATTACAAGACTAACCTGAATAAACTTTTTTTGGGAGGGGGGCAATGAAGGGCATTACATTCAAAAGCAAGACATGGCCCAAATCTTCATAATATTCTGTCTAAGATTTATATAAATAATTTAAGTCTGACAGCCAAAATGACAAAAACAAAATGTTATTCCTTCAAGAAGGGATATATACATAAATTTACTAAAATTGCTTGTTTGTATTCAGCTTATAATCAAGTGAAATAATCCCTTTGAATAAACACTTCATGAAAGGAAATTTTTCCCTACCTTTATCATCCCTTTACAAACATGGTGCAGTTTATAATCAGCATCCAATTTTACTTCTTCTTTCTGAAAACAAACAATTAAACATATTATTAATTAAAAATTAAGTTAGAGAACGGAAACTAAAAATTTTGCAATTTTTCCATTTATAAAGGGGCATAACTCTAGAACAGTTAAAGTGACACCACCAAAATTCAAACTTGATCTGTGTTTTGTGGTAATAAGCATTGTGTATAAGTTTCATAACATTTGGTTGAAGCAAACTCAAGTTAGACAACGGAAACCAATTTTGGGGCGTACGTACGTACAGACGGACAAGGGTAAAACTTAATGGCTACGGCGGGGGCATAAAAAACATTCAAACTTGTAATAATTTACCTATAAATATTCAAATTGTATGTTTTTATTGTTCTTTTAAATGGGTATTCTCAATTAGTCTGATGTCAGTCAATTTGTTTGTATAACAATCAGATTAGCATGTACATTATTATTGGCCATAATAACTAAAGACGTGATTTAGTGATCACAGAAATCATCCAGCAACTGAGAAATCATGATTTGTTAAGCGATCCAACTCATTCCATCAAAATTTCAATCCATTTCAAAAAGAAGTTCTCCATTCACTATCTGGAAACCACAAAATTTTGAAACAATCAAGTACCATAACTCTGGAAGGGTAAAAGTGAAAACGACATAGTCCAAGTAAACCTGTGGTTAGTGGTCCAAAACATTTCCTTTTAATTTCCCTTTGACTTAAGAAGGTTTGACTGAAATTATAAGGGCTGAGTAATCTAGCCAATCAGTAAACACTTTTGTGGTACTGGTCAAATGAATAAAATCATAGTTCATTGAAATATATGACTTGACCTTTTGATTTGATAAGATTTTTATCCACTGGCATATATCCATTCCATATCCTTTTTTTATACAAATAAGTAGATGCTCCCTCCTCCTTATCGCTATCTATATACTTACTTCTCTTTTAAACAAAACTTTATGACACCTCTTCGACAGCTTTTGTTGATGTGCTTTCAAACATTCAATAACCTAGACAAAAATAAAATATATAGTTTAGGAAATTGGGTCTTTTACTAGGCAGTGTTTTAATGCACAAAAGATTTTTTTTCTTGACAAAGACAATAAACTGCTTCGCTGAGCACAGCTGGATACGCCCACAGAGGTCCAACCCTGAACAGTTTGGGAAAAAATGGACACAATATTCAAGCTTGATACAGGTCTGAATTTGGATTGTAATTAAATATTTGACATATTATAGGTTTCTGAATAAATGTAGTCAAAGAACTTGAAATTGGTTATATGAATTGAATTTATATTCAATTAAAGATTTCTTGCTGTTGTGCAATACACTGTGCTGTTGTGCAATACTTAGTAAATCTGTTGTCAGACTATAAACAAATGAAGTTCAATTAATTCTCAATGTCATATTAGAAATTTATGAAAATGTAAAGGGAGCTTACATCAATAGATATAAACAAATCACCAAAGTTTTATGCAAATTGGTTAAAGCGTTTTTGAGTTAATGTCCGACATGTTGATGACAGACGGACAGACGGACAGACAGACAACAGTATACCATAATACGTCCTGTAAACGGGCGTATAAAAATTGAGAATGGAAATGGGGAATATGTCAAAGAGACAACAACCCCGACCAAAGAGCAGATAACAGCCGAAGGCCACCAATGCAGCGAGAAAATCTCGCACCCGGAGGTGGTCCTCAGCTGGCCCCTAAATAAAATTGTGTACTGGTTCAGTGAAAATGGATGTCACACTAAACTCCAAAACATATAAAGGAACTAAAATTAAATAAATGTGGAATGTGTCCATGGGACACAGATGGTGCCCCCGATGGCATATCATATAAAATTATAAATGGACATAACTGAAGAACGGTAAAAGTGACCCTACCCAAATTTGAACTTGATCTGAGTTTTGTGGTAATAAGTATTGTGTATAAGTTTCATAGCATTTGGTTGAGGCAAACTAAATTTGAAGAACAGAAACGAAAAATTCAGCAACTTTTCCATTTGTAAAGAGGCACAACTCTAGAACGGTTAAAGTGACACCACTAAAATTCAAATTTGATCTGTATTTTGTGGTAATAAGTATTGTGTATAAGTTTCATTTGGTTGAGGCAAACTAAAGTTAGAGAACGGAAACCAACTTTGGGACGTACGGACGGACGTATGAATGTACGTATAGACGGACAAGGGTAAAACTTAATGCCCCCTCCACTACGGCGGGGGCATAAAAAACATACAAGACTAACAAAGGCCAGAAGCTACTGACTTGGGACAGGCGCAAAAAGAAAGACCCAAGTGATTAGTATGATGGCTCACAACATTTCCTTTTCAATACCTTGATCTTGCAAACAAACATCTGAAGTTGATTTGTTGCAACCTGCATTTATATTTTATAAGGAAGAATCTTATCATGTTTGCCCTTTCAAAAGAACGTGATAAGAAATAGGTGCATTCGTGACCTTGACCTTTCCATTTAAAACTGCAATATTACACATTATACACTCTTTGATGGCTTTGGTCAAAGCTATCTAGTATCCTCATCATTCATATAGATATTAAAAGGCTAAATGTAAGATATTTGACCTTGACCTTTCAGCAAAACATTTAGATATTGTTCATGAAACATTTCTCATAGTGGCCACCTGTCATGTCACATATAATATGCTTCAAGGGATTCAAAATTCATATACCATAACAATGTCTTTGTAAGTTGTGTATGTACAAAGCTCAGAACCTTTACCTTGAAGGTAGTGAGTGATACAAATTGTGATAAACCTTTAAACTCAATGTTGTTCAAAAGGTATAAAATGGAAATAATTTGTAACATAGTGAATGAACAACTTGATCACTAAATGGTTCTTTAAAATAATTAACAGGTTCTTATCAGCCAGATTCAAAGAAATTTTCTCCGAGACAAGCAGCTCCGTTGAGTGTGACCTATAGTTGTTAACTTCTATGTCATTTGGTCTCTAGTGGAGAGTTGTCTCATTGGCAATATTACCACATCTTATTTTTATATTCTCCAGCATAATGAATTCATCGGAGGTCAAAAAGAGGCATATTATAGCTTATATTTTTAAATTTATTTAAAACAAATCTATGACTATAAGCTAATTAAATCAAGATTGTTAAAATTTCAATCATCAAACTTACAGCTATTGCAGAGAATTTCTTACCTTAGCATTACCATGTTTAACCTTGGAGCAGAAATTCTGAACATCATCAGTACATGCTTTATCTAATTTTTCATCCAATTTAATATCTTCACCCTGTAAAAAATAAGTCTACTTGTTTACACATGTCACCTTTAACTGTTTCTATTTCATCAAGCCATGTCAAAATGGATGATTTTCACTTATTAAGACTTGTTTATAAACAAAAAAAGTGATAAGAAATATACTGAGTGCCTATAGAAACACAACACATCATTTTCCATGCCCCCTTTGGTCCCTTTTATAATAATATTACAAAAAATTTCTTTCGATGCATTTCTCAAATAACTTACTACATTCTATCAATTTGGTCCTTCATCAAATTTTTCCTGTTCAGAAAATTGTGATTAGTCCCTCAGGGGTCAAGTCATTTTTTTCATTCAAATATGATCACACTGGACCAAATGCAAAGGAAATTGATTATCAGCATTGTTTTTAATTTTTCTATAAAAATTTCACCTTCTCTATAAAGCACTAAGTAAATGAAATTTGAACTCACATGTGAAACATAATACAAGCCAATGAAGCCTGAAATTTAGGTCAGTGCAACCTACATATGGTTGGAGGGTTAAACTTCACAAGATTCCTCTTTGTAATTTGGTTGTAGGCCATTTAGTTAATGGTAAATGAACCAAAACCTTAAACTCAAAAAAAGCTAATTTGGATATAAATAAACTGAAATATGGGTCATGTGAAGATCTACTTCCAATAACACATGTCAGCCTCAAGATGCAAACAATATTATATAAATAAAAGAGTGTGAGTCTTACAAAGAAAACACATGTTGCCTGCTGTCTCCAAAATGATGTAATCAGAAATGTTGAAGTCCATGTTTTGGTATGGGAAAACCTAAAAATCACCCAAATCAAAAATCAAAATAGCGGATGCACAACTTCATGTCCTGTACAAAAATTTGTTTAAAGTGTGGTTGAATTCTGTCAGGTTTTTTTTCAAGTAGTTATGGATTAACAAACTGATATTATACCACATTGTAAAAACCTACCCTCTGCATAGATTCAAATCTAAGTTGTCTTCTACAACTTTTATCAATTCTGTGCTCAGATTCTCTCAGTGTATCATTTCTTACATGTTCACTTAAACAGGTCACAACATCACCTCTGAAATAACATATTTACAGCTATTTTTTAATGTACTAAAATAATCATTGAAAAATATTTAAGGTTCATTCAAATTCAGAGATTTCCGATATTCAAAGTAACAAGCACAGTGAATCAAGTCATTAATGACAGTGTTTTTTATTCATGCAAATCATACAAAATGAACAATGTAATATAAAATCACAATTAAATTATGGGTGGTTTTACTTCACTACTGAGTTCAACTGTCATGAGTAGAGAATTGTTGTATCATTTGAGATGCACTGTTTAGATCTGTGTCCGAGATTGTTTTGCCAAAGTGATAAGGTTAACAGAAGCAATAAAATGCTCCGCTGGGGCGCAGCTTGATACGACCGCAGAGGTCAAACCCTGAACAGTTGGGGCAAGTATGGACACAACATTCAAGCTTGATACAGCACTGAATTTGGATTGTAATTAAATATTTGACACAGCATAGGTTTCTGACACAGAATGAAAGTGGTCTAAGAACTTATAATTTTTTAATTTACCTATTCATACATGTGATGGACTGTGAAACTCAGATCAGGAGATTGGGAAATTTTGGTCAGGAGATTAGGACTCAGATCAGGAGGTTTTTAATCGACATAAATTTTGTCGTAAATGTAACCGTGTGCTGTAAAAATGGTCTTTTAAAGTGTGTTTTCTTCAACTTTCCATCCAATTTATTATGTTTATAGTACCCTTGTACTTATAAAGTTTCTCCATCTTTATATTTTACATGTTCAATCTAACATTTTTTTTTTTCAGTATGTTCTTTAAATTTTTTACTTCATATTCTATAAAACATTTATTGCAACCAGAACATTTGTTTATCTATCTGCAAATAGCTTTTGTTTGCATACTCAGAAAGTCATTCTAACTGTAAAACAAGGGTCATAGTTATTATATAAATTTCAATTTAAGCCTTGAAAGGAAGTATAGAATCCTCAAATAATTTTCAAATTATTATTTTTTTATTTGTCCTAAGACATTTAAAATCATTTATTTACCATCCTTTTATGATTATTTGTTCAATTTATATTTTATTTATATTCTTTTAAAAATTTTCATTATTAAAAGGAAAGTAACTTAAAACAGGATAAATCAAGGGAAGTAACCCAATAAATACACAGTTTTTGTTACACAACGGCAGTTAGCCTGAGGTAAAAAGTCATTGATTACCAGTATGTTTGACACCCAAGCTGACAAGTGAAGCCATATAATTATGCATGTTAATTGATTTACAGGTAAAATATAACTTCAGGTAATGTGAGTTACACCAGATGCCTGAGATGATATGTTGGGCAGAAATTTTTCATTCATGAAAAATTTCATACACGGGATTATAATTTTCCTCTTCAACCGGAGGTCAGGAGGAGACTCCTGAAAACAGGATTATTGTACACCTGTCGGGAGGTTCACATGTATGCTATTCAAACCATATCATTATTATTTGCTTTTATATATAAATCAGAAATAACCAATTTAAAATGGAAAATTTTAAAGAAAAAAAAGGAAAAAAAAATCCCCCCCCCCAAATTTTTTGAACCCCCTTATGATTCATCGCCCCCACACTCAATCCCAGCTTTCCCTTTGTGGTATGGTACCTTGCAGTACAATTTTAGAGAGATCCATTCACTTGAACACAAGTTATTGTCTGGAAACTAGAAAAATGCTTGTTTTTTTGGCCCTTTTTGGCCCCTAATTCCTAAACGTTTAGGGCAATTACCCCCAAACTCCAACCCAGCTTTCCCTTTGTGATAGGGAACCTTGCAGTACAATTTCATAAAGATCCATACACTTACAAACAAGTTATTGTCCTGAAACTAGAAAAATGCTTGTTTTTTGCCCCTTTTTGGCCCCTAATTCCCAAAATTTGGAGGAAATTACCCCCAAAAATCAATCCCAGTATTCCCTTTGTGATATGGAACCTTGTGATACAATGTCAGAGAGATCCATACACTTACACACAAGTTATTGTCATGAAACTAGAAAAATGCTTGTTTTTTGCCCCTTTTTGGCCCCTAATTCCTAAAATTTGGAGGCAATTACCCCCAAAATCAATCCCAGCATTCCCTTTGTGATATGGAACCTTGTGGTACAATGTCAGAGAGATCCATATACTTACACACAAGTAATGTCTGGAAGTTACAAAAATGCTTATTTTTGGCCCCTTTTTGGCCCCTAATTCCTTAACTGTTAGTACCATAACCCCCAAAATCAATCCCCACCTTCCTTTTGTCGTATTGAACCTTATGGTAAAATTTCATTGAGATCCATTCACTTAAACTAAAGTTAGAGTGCGAAAACTAATGTGTATTCGGACGACGACGCCAACGTCATACCAATATACGACCACAAAAATTTTTTTGCGGTCGTATAAAAATAAGGTCTGTTTAAAAGTCCTGGAACTTGAAATTGATGTAAATTAACTCACAAAAAAGATGGTATGTACAACGTCAAGAAGAACTGTAGTTTATCTGAATACAATTTACATTTTTCACATATAGATGATTACTCACTTTCTTTTTACATTTGGACAGAACTGCTTCACAGATTTTTTGCATGCTTCTTTAAATTTATGTGAGAATTCATAATTCTTCATAGATATCTGAAATAAAAAAATTACTTTCAAGACATTTTTTGTTTCATTAATATTATTTTCAATGATAGTCTACAGAGAATTCTATAGAGGAAAGACAGCAATTGTAAAATTGGGGATCGAGTTCGAAAATTTTCCATCATAAACATTTAAAAGGCATTTTTTACTTATATTTCATCATGTAAAATACACAGTTAAGACATTTGATGAATCTGATATCATATACTGTAAATTCAGAAATGTGTGTGTGCATTTATTATTGTGATCGTTGAACAATTGACAAAAATGTGAATTTATTTAATGGGATTTCAGGAAATGCTGCATAAAAATGATGTCATCAAAATCTAAAATGCGAGTTTTTCATTTTGCAGAACCAACCCTGTTGCAATTTTCTCATTAATAAAAATATCCCAAAAATTTCTGCATTTATACATTACTTACAAGTTGGTGATGTTCTATTCCTGCGTAACATTTAGGATCCATTTTCTGATGATGTTTATGTTGTATCAAACATTGCATGACCACATCTTCATCTTCTTCTTCTTCTAACTCCTACAATTAATGGTAAAATACATCAAGCCTATGTATGGCCATTTGGTATGATCATAAATACACTGGATCTAGTAACAACTGGTACATTGTCAACAAGTATTGAATTATGGTCCTCCAATGGAATTAATTATAAATACTACTTAGCAATACATAACTTATACAATACTGACCTGTTCACAATGTACAATAGATTAATGTCCGTTAAGTTCTAAATAGTCAGTCAGTTTGAAAATTAAAATGATTGAATTATAGTTTTTATAAAAAAAAATTCTCTTGCTGAATCAAAGTATCAAATTTTATGGTAATTAAACTGATACTAACCAAAGGTCTATTGAACTACTTAAGTATTTTAAATCTTTACAAGAGTAAATTAAAATGTTTTTAAATTATTTTAACAGTTAGAAAATCTGAACATAATGAAAAAAGGTGTTAATGAAGATATACATGTATAAGGTATATTTGGTATTAATTAACAAGAATGAACAAAAGAATGCAAGAAGATTTTGATTCTATGACTACTTCAAATACAGGAAACTACCTAAACAATCACACTGGGACTAGGCAAAGAAAGGCTTAGGCAAAAAATATAGTGTACAACTCTAAAGGGACTGAAGCTGTGAGCATTATTGCTTGATCCGGAGTAAAAGTATTATTATGACTAATAAATGCTATAAATATTAAAACTGCAGGAAACATTTCCAAGCAGAAAAGGAAAAGAGAAAATTACTGCAAATGTGGGTTTTTCTGTATTTTTGGTTGTATCTGATATACTGTTTTCATATGCAGATTAAAAATATCTTGTCCTTTGTATGGAGTAATTAAGGTTTCTTTTCCAAGATTGGACAAATTATACTTTAATGTTAAAAGTTTTCAAATGACTAAATATGTTCTGTTAATATTGATGTAAATTACCTTAAACCCTTTGCCTTCAACCTAAAGAAATTAATTTTCCCCGATAAATTATAAAATTCAAATTAATGCTGAAATTAAGTCATAATTATGAATAAAAGTATATGTGGAGTATTTGTCATAAAGACCTGTTCAGTGGTGTAACTAGCATTTATCTTTCAGTTTTATTTCATTTCTATTAAGCATTTGGATTCTGCTTAGAGATAGAATTTGGATGTAAATGGTGTTATTAATATATTAATTTCACTACTGCCATATTGTTATATCTGAATAAGCAAATCACTAAAAGATATTATCAAAAAGAAATTTCACTGAAAAGACATTCACACAATAAGCAAACTCTTAGCTTCTTAGCCACCTTACTCATAAATTCTTTTAATTTTCATAAATTAACAAGAGGCTGACATAATGATAGCAAACAAGATTTTGATTACTTTTATAAGCAGCATTGTTAAAGCAATTGAGGACCATAACTCCTCAACAACAAAAGTGAAAGTGGTCAACATCCAATTTGACCACAATTTAATCATCAAGTGAAAGTGGTCAACATCCAATTTGACCACAATTTAATCATCAACAACAACATATCAAAATTTGAAAAGTATTGGTTGAACAGTTCTCAACTTGTTGCAAGGAAATGACATAAAGTACCATTTTCCTATCAATCAAGGACCATAACTCTGTTGACTCTATGCATTTTCATTAGTATAAAGAAGGGTTTTATAATCAAGTTCTATAAATAAAAGTTGAAAGTATTTTACACAACAATGCATACTTTTCTTCAAGGAAATTCTTCTCCAAAAAAAAGTGACTAACCTCTGAACAGAAGAGCTTCAACATTGGTGTACAAGATTTGACTAAGACAACATCAAGGTCAAGGTAAGTGTCCTCATCTTCTGTAATGTTACCAACTACATTAGCACATGCTTCTGTTAACTCATCATAGTTGTCTTGTAAACATGATAGTTCCTATAATTATTGTACAAACGAATGTCAGTATAGAAAACAACACCCTTGCGAAATTAACAAAGCAAATACAGGTTGTGTTTTGTTAAGTGTCTTTACCAAGAAACTCAAAAACTTGGCTGTTGAAACTTGTGATAGAGATTAGATTATTTCCAAAATGCCTTTTGCTAAAAAACATGAAGCAGTATAAATAGAGCTGGGCTATTCGCCCTTTTTGCTCCTCCTTATGCAATAAATAAATTTATATGATCAACTAGAAATACTGTGAGCACTGCTCAAATGGACACCCCCCCCCCCCCCCCCCCAAAAAAAAAAAAAAAAGATGTGCACACACAGTGGTACCCATTGACGCAACACATGAATAATTTGGCACTATTAAGGCAACCTCAAGCTAAACCAAGTTTGTGGCCTCTATTTTTGACTATAACTGTCCAAAGTGTGAAAAATGGACAGTTTTCAACAAATTTTCATCGAATAAAGCTCAATAATATCATATCAGAAATTTATACAAAAAACAAAAGGGAGCTTATTTCAATAAATTTTAATAAAATGCTTCGCTGGGGCGCAGCTTGATACGACCGCAGAGGTCGAACCCTGAACAGTTGGGGCAAGTATGGACACAACATTGAAGCTTGATACAGCTCTGAATTTGGATTGTTATTAAATATTTGACACAGCATAGGTTTCTGACACAGAAAGAATGTGGTCTAAGAACTTGAATTTTTTTAATTTACCTATTATGGTCCAATGTCCAAAATCAAAATACATGGTTAGATTCAGCATATCAAAGAACCCCATATATTCAATTTTTGTTGAAATCAAAAAAAGTTTAATTTTGGACCCCAACTTGGACCAACTTGAAAACTGGGCCCATAATAAAAAATCTAAACACATGTTTAGATTCAGCATATCAAAGAACCCCAAGAATTCAATTTTTGTTAAAATCAAACTAAGTTTAATTTTGGACCCTTTGGACCTCAATAAAGACCAATTTAAAAAACGGGACCCAAATTAAAAATCTAAAAACACGGTTAGATTTGGCATATCAAAGAACCCCAATAATTCAATTTTTGATGAAATCAAACAAAGTTTAATTTTGGACCCTTTTGACCTCAATATGAACCAATTTGATAGCGGGGCCCAAAAATAAAAAATCTAAATACATGGTTAGATTCAGCATATCAAAGAACCTCATATATTCAATTTTTGTTGAAATCAAACAAAGTTTAATTTTGGACCCCAATTTGGACCAACTTGAAAAATGGGCTCATAATCAAAAATCTAAATACATGTTTAGATTCAGCATATCAAAGAACCCCATATATTCAATTTTTGTTGAAATCAAACAAAGTTTAAATACTGGATCCTATCTTGGACCAACTTGAAAACTGGGCCCATAATCAAAAATCTAAACACATGTTTAGATTCAGCATATCAAAGAACCCCAAAAATTCAATTTTTGTTAAAATCAAACTAAGTTTAATTTTGGACCCTTTGGACCTTAATGTAGACCAATTTAAAAAACAGGACCCAAAATTAAAAATCTAAATACACGGTTAGATTTGGAATATCAAAGAACCCCAATAATTCAATTTTAGATGAAATCAAACAAAGTTTAATTTTGGACCCTTTTGACCTTAATATGAACCAATTTGATAACGGGGTCCACAAATAAAAAATCTAAATACATGGTTAGATTCAGCATATCAAAGAACCCCATATATTCAATTTTTGTTGAAATCAAACAAAGTTTAATTTTGGACCCTTTGGACCTTAATGTAGACCAATTTGAAAACTGGACCCAAAATTAAAAATCTAAATACACTGTTAGATTCGGCATAACAAATAAATAAATGTGATCAAAGATTTTACAAATCTAATGCGCCATACTGTGCAATTAAAGATTACTTCTTGGAAATTTTTCAATATTTGAAATTTGAAAAAAAAATAATATTTGAAGAATAATTCTTTTTAATTTCTGAAATCTGAAATGAGAAAAAATTGACCTCCCACAATTTTTTTTTATCCCCCCCCCCCCCCCCCCCCCTTTTTTCCCCCAAAAAATTCTTTCCCTCACGTTTGGTCATAATCTCAATTCAAATTTCCAATGGAGTTGGCAACCATAATTACCCATTTAAATTTACCATAGTGCTAACTTAATCTATTTTATAATAGAATTAAAAATATAGTGTCAAATCTTTCATATGGATTTTTTTGTAAAAAAAAAAAGATGCAACATTTGCAGATATTTTTACTGGTCTTCCTTTATAAATATGCATTTCTTTAAACATAATTTAAAAGCAGTGTAAGGGAAGTAACCAAAACGTTGTATTTGAATTACCTCCCTTACACTGTTTTAAATTATCTTTATTGTTCATTAACCATTACTTTATACATAATTTAAAAGCAGTGTAAGGGAGATAATTTCAATGATGTATTTGATTTATCTCCCTTACACTGCTTTAAATTATGTTTTGTACTAAAGTATTTGTCCATTAACCAGGACAACCTTGTTTTTCCCCCTTTTTTGCCCCTAATTCCTAAACGGTTTGAGCCATAACCCCCCAAAGCAAATCCTAACCATCCCTTTGTGGTATGGAAACTTGTAGTATAATTTCAGAGAGATCCATACACCGTTCCACAGTTATTGTCTGGAAACTAGAAAATGCTTATTTTTGGCCCCTAATTCCTTAACTGTTGGTACCATAACCCCCAAAATCAATCCCAACCTTCCTTTTGTGGTATTTAACCTTATGGTCAAATTTCAAAAAGATCCATTCACTTAAACTAAAGTTAGAGTGCGAAAACCAATGTGTCTTCGGACGACGACAACGACGCCAACGTCATACCAATATACGACCACAAAATATTTTTGCGATCGTATAAAAAGTCACCAAAATTTCATGTAAACTGTTCAAAGCATTTTTGAGTTATTGTCCGAAAACTGGAAAATCCCCCCTTTTTTATGAATAAAGTCCCATTACTGCAAAACATAAAATCAGAAATTTTTATAAATCGACAGGGAAACTTATGTCAATATATAAACAATTCACCAAAGCAATTTTGAGTAAAAGTCAGAAAACTGGAAAATCCCCATTTTATTTATGAATAAAATCCCATCTCTCAGAAAAATATCTGGTCCTCAATGAAATCAGTATCAAACATGTAAATACACAAGAGAAAATCTACAACAGTCATACTCACATCTCCTTTGGCAATGTCTTTTTCCTGGTCCGAACACAATCTTCCTAGATCTGTGACACAATTTTCCTCTATTTCAGGGTCAAGTTCTATCTTTCTAGCTCTATTCCTCATCACCCTCTTCATCTCATGTTTACATGCTCGTGAAAGCTACAATATGAAAAAGATTCCCATTTATAAACAAGTGAAAGCTACAATAAAACAAATATTCCCATTCACAAACTGACTTTCAAAATACATTTAAGCGTACCCTCTTTTGGTTTATATAAAATAAAAAATGATGCTGGAATTTTAAAAGGTTTATAAATCAGCATTAAATTGAACTCATATCCAACATTATATCATGTAGAATATACTCAACTAACAAAATTACCGATCCAATGAACAATCGACAATTCATAGAACCAGGATCCTTTGACAAGGAGTATGAATTTACTGCAGATTCCCTATACAGTTACCATTCTACAAAGTTGTCCCTCCTTTATTATCCCGAAGATTATCATAGATTTCCCAATTTTCTATAGGAGATTTTTCACAGTATTCCCATTCTTTATTTGTTTTAGTTTTAGTAATACAGCTAAGGTTTGTACATTTGTACTAACATGATTAAGTAATCGAATTGGTAATAAAATTGCATAAATGTAATTTACACCAAAATATAAATAAATACTGCAATGTATCTAAGGGCTATTCCATTAAAATGTATGTGGGAGGGTAGGAAGGGACTTTCAAAATATCCCTACAACCAAGAACCATTTTTTAGATAATTTTGCACAATGGTAATGGACACATACGGAAAAAAGACCCATGACCCACATTCAATAATTAAACTTTCCTTCCTACCCTCCCACATACATTTTAACGGAATAGCCCTAAACAAAGAAGTCATAATCTGCCTGATTTTTACCTGTTAAAAACTGACACAGAATGGGAACACTGCTTTCTCCAATCTAAGGAACAAAGGTTTTAGCCCAAGCCAGTATCATACATTTAAAAACATTCATTTCAAGTTACATTAAATCATATAGCTGTACAGTTATTTTTCTGTTTAGAGGATTGAAAAAGGAACATTTACTGTTGATTTATTAATAGAATTTTAAACCTCATTACTAATAATATTGATTAGGTTTGAATTATTCGATGTCTATAATAGTATATGAGTATAAAAACTGTACGATGTCAATGTGTTTTCTTTTCTTTCTAAATTAACAGGTACTTGTTAAAAATTTTTTTTTACCATCCTTGAAAGAAATTAAGACAAATATACCAAATAACATAAGTACAAGGACAGTATTATATGGTCTATACTTTAGCCCAGTTCTTCAACCAATTTTTGTTTTCTCAAGAATTAAATTGAGATCTCTTCAAACAGTAAAATTGTTACATGTATATTTCTCTATGAAAATAAATTGAAAAGACCAAAGATTTTTTTGAAAACTTTATCGAAGGAGAAAAAAACCTTTTCCATGACAGACCTCATACCACATTTTTTGTTTTGTAAGAAGCTACTCTATTTTGTCCCCTGTCATCCAAACCTGTTGTTGTTTTTGGTCTCTCATGTGTCTATATAAGCAAGACATGACGTGCTGTCCAGTTGTGTCATTTTTGGAAGTTTTCTCAAGCCATTTGCCTTTATAGCCACAGTAGTCCTTAGCATATCGTCGACACTTCTGATACAGCTGATTGTCTAATCTAATTAGTTAAAATACATTAACATTTTCAAATTGTTAATTTTATCTTCCTCACCTAAAATGAATTTATCTAAAAATATACAACCATTAGGAATGTAGGAATACTGTCAACACCTGCAAGTTACAATTACAACATTTCATTCTGTATTTAGCAAAGCTCCGAAAACAGTTATCTTTGTACTGGGATGTTCATATTATGCATTTGTAAGACTTTAATATTTTCTTCAAATTTGCATTCAAAATCTGCTAAATTTAACATTTTCCATCAAATACAGCTCAAAAATTGTCAATTTTATCTTTTAAAACTTGCAGGTATTATAGTCCAATTCCTGAATTGGCCGTTTCAGAAGCTAAAGAACTATGGGTAATTTTATTGTTCGTACCCCAAAATGAAAATAACGTCACGTCATTGGTTAAATTTCCATTGTTTGGGACAATTTTTAACCAATCACGACATTTTGCGAACACTTTTGAAAATATTACCCAGAATGCATTAAATTCTGAAACAGTGAATTGCTAAATGTTCTTGATTCTAAATGTACAATTATACCAAAAGCACATGCTAACTTATGCTATACAACCATCAAATGCTATCTGCCCATGCTGTTACATTGCCCCACGCTGTCACGATTATGACTTAAGACCAAAAATTCTCCAGTTAAGAATGCTGAAATGGCATCAGATACCAAGTACCAAAACTGCATAACATGCCAAAAAATTTAATGTCGAAAGGAAAGAGTTCCATATGGATACCCCATGGAAAAACTGTACGATGTCAATGTGTTTTCTTGTAGGATGGGATGTCATTTGGAACTCTAGCCTGTGGAATTATTGGTAAACCTTCTTCCCTTTTCTTGATTAAACTTTACCATAACTAGGACTATCTATACAAGTAGGTTAACAAGGTTTTAACAAGTTAGACATGTACACAGGTTTCTCATGCTGGTGAAAACAGTTAAAAGAGGCAGCAATGCTTAGGCATTTTTATCAAACAGTCCTTTTGATATATAGCACTTAAAAAAATAAATGTTTAATCAATGATAAATAGTTGTTCGATTTTTTGAGTACCAAAGAAGTGCCTTTGTTGTTAACAAATTCCAATTTGGGGTCACTAAAGGATATTCATGAAAACTGAAACCTTCTATCAGGCAACATTTTGAGACTGAATAAGGTTTGGTATCTTGCAACACCTGACTGATTAATTTTTATAAGAATGTCTAAACATTGCAGTTTTTGTTTATCTAATCCAAGAAAAACTCATACAACATGTACAATAAAATAAACACATAGATTTTCTTAAGCTACAATTAGTTTCTCTTCACCAATAATGAATAGAAAAGGATATATTTTGTGAAGGATTAACATGTACAAGCCAAAGAAATCATGCATTTTAACAGAGACTAGCACAAAGCATGCAAAGAAATATCAGTGTCTTAGTATAAAGTACAGTTGTACATGAATTATCAATAATTTTTAAGTTTAACTTATCTGAAGGAGAAATATATAATCCTGAATACCATTGCCAAAAAGTCTTAGTATATATTTACTCTCTTCCAACTGGCTGACAAATTAATTAATGAAATTAGATTTTGAAATCAAAATTACAAATGTAAACATAAGCTGTGAAAACTCATCTGTTTCTAAATAATTTTTTTATTTCGCCATCAAAACTGTGAAAAAACTTTAAATAGCCTCTGCTTCAATCTAGATTTGATAATTTGGGACAGCTTTTGATGTACTATATTTATCAACACTGATTTTCTTTGCGGACAGAACACGAGGAGGAAATGGTTATGAACTTTTGAGTCTCACCTGGGTATGTGGGTCTTCAGATTTCATGTGTCGATATAGACAGGGTAAAACTAATCCCCAGTTGTCAACATTAGTGGATTTCATATCGTTCCAATGAGGAGAGGCGTTGCAATGGGTCTTGGCATTTTCATGACAGTGTTTGAAAAGGTTAGCATCTAATCTGTAATGAAAGGGCTTTCAGGTTTCTCTAATAAGCAAGATATACATTCCAAATGTTGCTAGTACCAGAGTTTGTAATATCCCCTTGCAGCGTCGCATAAAGCTAAATTTGTAGGTGGACTTATTTTGTTTTTATATCTAGATAGATATGTCATCCTTAAAATAAAATAATAGGTCAAACTGAAATTTGAAAATTTAATTTTGAATTTAATCATCAATTTCACACTGAATTGAATGTTGATAATCATTGTGTGTGTGTGTTTTTGAAATACCATTTTACTCTGACAGAAAGCATCTTAATACTAAAGACCATTATTAACACATATAAAGTTAATTACAGAAAAAGGCAAATTGTGACCAAAAGTTGAAAATTTACAATACTATCAAAATTTGTGCATTTTGCATTTTCCAGCATCAAGCTGTGCCTCTATAACTATTGTCTGAATTTCTTAATTAAAAAAAGTCATTCATACTAGCTGAAAGGACTCAAGTGATATTCTCAACTATGTACAAGCTCAAACTAGTATGAAGGTTTATGAAATTAAATTAATTTCGTCAATATAGTGTTTCAGAATTTGCCTTTCAAAGATGTGCATCTAGTGCAACTTAATAAAATGAAACTGCCTAAATCTTCAACACTGGAATAATGGAAGCAAAAAAAGCATATTCCAAAGAAGAAATATATTTCCTCCAAAGCTTGCTGCAGCTCACTACTTTAAAGTTTTACAGAAATGAATGTGTATAAAAATAATTCTGAAATAAATCATAACAATAAAATACCATTTAATAGATTTTTACATTAGTAAAAAATAAATTGAATGACATTTCAACATTAAAAACACACATAGTAAGTATGCTAATTTGAGTTGTTTTCTATGAAAAAAGTTTCCTTTCAGATATGGTATTGTTCCTCAGAAAACCAATAGTGCTATTTCAGAATTAATTGTATGGGGTGGGGGATGTGAAAGCACTTTATATTAATAATATAGTGGTAATCAGGGTGTGCCAATGGTGTGTATAATACATGTATTGTAAAAAAGGTGATACACGTGTGTTTCCAGTCATATCTAGTTTGAGAAAATAATTGATTTTATCAATACTACCATTTGCAATATCTTTATTCCTGATAACACAGCTGAATCAAGGAGACTCTCGATGGATTAAACTAAATGACTATTATTTATTATATGCTAGATATGTAATTATTTAATTCAAATGAGGTCATTATAGCTTACTGTGGATTCATTTATTTTCATGGATACCATTTTTTGAAGATTGAAGAAAACTTGTATTTTTTTTATGATATTTGATTTCATGGTTTTGCCAGTCTGCATACAAGCCTACAGAAAATTTGAACTTCGTTGAACATCTAAATTTGTGGTTTACCATTACCCACCAAATCAATGAAAATTTATATCCCAGAATGATAATGAATCAACAGTATTCCTAGATTTGCATCTTACTTTTCTTAATGATAGGAAGTCTGATCATAAACATATTTTTATACAAAAAATTGTCAATAGATGACCTAAAAAGAATAAATTATAACATATTGGTCAAGGGGAATCATATATTCATATGAATGTAAATATATAATATTAATTGATGCTCTGTATAAAATGAGTGAAGGCTTTATGAGACGAACTTTATAACCCAATCAAGATACACTGCCATATATGGAGGAACATGAATAAATTTAAATGCCTCAGCTAAATTTGTTTCAGAGCATTAAACACAGGGTGTAAAGTATAATGCAGCATTGGTAGGATGTAAATCTAGGAATATTTTTACAATGGCCTTATCAACCCACTGCAATAAATCAAAATCAACTGTATGCTTATTGGTATATTCAAGTTGTACATTCAGGTACACAAATAAATTAAAATATATTTAAAAGAAATTAAATTTTTGTCATATTTAATTGAAAATGATGCTTTATTGCAAGAAAAAAGCAAAATGTATATTATAATATTTTTTTTTCATTTTAAACTTTTATGCTTTCTGTCATTATCCTAATGCATTAATTAATTATATACCTATATGCAAATCAGTGTGGGAAATCCAATTTGACCACAAGGTCAAACTCATGAATTTCACAGGCTGATACAGAAGATCTGTGATACCAAGTTCTAGATTATTAAGATTATGTGCATTTAATTAATTATAATTGTTTAACATGTGTACACGTCAAGTTCAGAAGGGTTTAACAGCTGGTAAATTTGCATAAATTTTCATTATTGACATAATTGTTGAATTTAACAGATAACTTGGTGAATTGGACACTGACAAGAACACTGAGGAATTTTTTACTAACTACAACCTACAGCCCTGCAATTTGTAAATAATCTTTGAAAGACCTAATCTGGTCATAAACCAACTTGTAACAGCCATCCATATCAACTTAAAATGAGTTTAAAACCGTTTCTATTTAATTCTGTAATATGACATTGTGATGATATGATCTTCTATGTCATAATTAAAACTTTTATTAATAAAACCTATTAATATAAATCAGAAATCATTTATACCTATTTATAAATAAATAGTCATCTTAGCCTTGTTTTCAGTAAAATTCTGTACCATATATCACTTTTCTCCGACAGTATTTTTTTTCCATTACAGTAACTTTTTCTTTTTTCATAGGCTTAGTCCATGATAATTTCAAATGAAGAGATATCTTTTAAGTTCTTATTAAACCTTTCTTCCATTACTTTCTTTCTACTATGGTAAAGAACCATTTTCTTAGTTCCTATGTGCACAAAAATTATAACAAATCTCTCCACAATGCTATCATTTTCCATGTACAAAAAAAAAAACAATACTTTATGTGTAGGACTTTTTTTTATGAAGATGCCAATGACTTGTAATGTTAATCATGTAACAACAGATGCACTAGGTGGCGTTTGTTTGATTTGTTTTGTCTTGGAAGTTTCATTGACATTTAAAGGCTGTCTTATGAGGTTTTTAGTGATAATACCAATCTGATTTAAATACAGAGCATGTGTCCATGTTTTGCTAACAAGGATCTGACACCACTTCTATCTATTTTCTGTTCTGGTAATTTTTACATCAGTCAATGAAATTTAAGCTTCAAATTTTTGTATCATTAAGACAAAGAAAAGAAGCACAAAATGTTTCTAAAACAGAAAGTATAACTGAGTGTTGTCAGATCCTTGTAAGCAAAGCGTGGATACCGGATCAGTATTTTAATCAGATTGTGACGAGACATAATCAACACAATCACGAGGCTTTTTAATTTCTGTTGGTCATGGGTTTTTTTTCACGGAACATATACAACAGAGTAAAAAATAGGAAAATTTTTCTTACCTCCAATCTCTCATAACAAAGTATTGTATTTCCATGAGTCTCTCTTCACATTCATCGGTCATCACATCATCGTCTATCTTTTCCATCAGACAATTCAATATTCTATAAATGAAACATTCTATGTACACATTTTTAATCACCCTGCTTATAAATAAAGATTTTTCAGCTGATTTTGTTCCACAATAAAACCAATCTTTCTAATAAAATTAAGAATGGAAATGGGGAATATGTCAAAGAGGCAACAACCCGACCACAGAGCAGACAACAGACGAAGGCCACCAATGGGTCTTCAACACAGCGAGAAAATCCCGCACCCGGAGATGGTCCTCAGCTGGCCCCTAAATAAAATTGTGTATATCAAAATCCAAACTTATCTTCCAATCAACACGATAAGTTAACAAAAGATAACTTACTACTTAAAGTTAGATAATTGACTAACACACTGATGTAAAACACACATAAATGTTCAACATGAGATTTTTTGGTAAGGTTTCAAAAACTAACATTTTTGGCAACAAATACCCAAAGAGGTTTTGACTTTTAAAAGCTCTGATAAGTGTGCATTAGGAAATAATACGTCCCGTAAACGGGAGTATAAAAATACAATTACATGTCAGTAGTACTGTTTTATTTAAGAACTTGGACTGAATTTTCATATAAATTGCCCCCAAAATGGCTTTGTTGGGCGGTTTTAAAAAGGTTACAGTATTGTAATTATTCAACTATTTGTATATGAGCTGGTTTTCATAATGCATTTCAAAAAAAATGATTCAATTTTTGTTTAGAATCAGAATTAAAAGTGCTTAAGAAAATATCCATAAATATATATATATATAACCCCAACCTGGCATCTCCTGCCTGAATATTTCTACATGCTGTCTGTACAACTGGCATACAAGCTTTCATGAGAACTTTGTCCATCTGGAAGTTACTGCCTACATCAGCCTCTAACAATAAATCTTCTACCTGTAAAAACAATGTGTGAACTTGATTATTATTCAATGTATTCAATATATATGGATACATTCCAAGGGAAATTTCAAATGAGATCTATTTTGAAATAATTACATTGTATGTACATGTATGTTTAAATGGAATCCTTAACTTTGAATGGCTGACAACAATCGCGAGGTACTCCCATATCAAATTTTATTTCTGTATAAAATACAACAGCTATGACTGCATGTGCTATCAGTGGCAATGTTAAAATAATGCATTGAAAAACAAATGAAAAGCTTGATATATTTTCATGGTCATGGAATAAAAAATTGATCGTGCACACATTTTTAATCCGTGCTTCATACAACATGTCCTTTGGACAATGCTTTAACATCCCAATTACATTATAAAAGAAGCATTCAATTCTTAATAAAAGTATATTCACAGGACTCTTATTTGAAATATTAAAAATGTATGCCAAATAGTGAACACTAGCTTCATTTTTCAAATCTGTTTGATAAGTTTAACATTTTAACACCATTTTGTAAATGTATGGAATATACATGTTGTCTGGCTAAGCATACCCTAAATTGTAATTTAAAGTATTGGAAAAACAGGAGGTAGGTGTCTATCAGATCCTAAGCTTAGCATTCCCTCACTTATAATTCAAAGTACCATCTCAACTTAGTTTTGTGCATTTATACACAGACAACCATTAAAGATGGCTTCTACTGCCAAAAATATATAACTCACAACAAAAAAGAAGTATAAAGGACAAATCTAAATGGGATGGCATAAAGGATATGCTATGATCCAACTTACAGCACGTTGACATTGTGGAGACATTGGTTCGCTATTATCAGGGGCCTTCTTCCTCGATTTGGTCCGTGCCTTATCCATTAGACAATGGACTACTTGTCCTTCCTCCAGCTTGTCATCATTGTCTTGGCTTAAACAAGCTTTAATTTCATGTTCGCAATTAGCAATTAGTTCTGGATTAATCTTATAATCACTCAATAATGTTTGTCTAACTTCATTCATTTCTGCTAAACATTCTGGTGTAATTTCTGCATCTGAAAAATGAAATCAGCACCCAATAAGTCTTACTGAATTTTGCAAATCCTTTTTATAGGTTTATTGAGAAAATGTTTGTCTGTTCTGACAAATTTAAGATCAGTTGGGTTAAATCAACTTCCTTTATCACAAAAGAAGAGTAGTTACATTTCAAATGTACACATTTATATTTTTGCATAATGTGAATAAATCTATTATAAATCGATGCTGCAAAATGTTACATGAAAAATTTGTTTCATTCAAAATTTAATGTAGCATTCAAACTTGTTTAATCAATGTACATTTAACACAATATAAGCCAACTATATAATACTTTCCCTAAATGTTGTTGGTAAGATATAAAATACCTATACATATGTGTGATTCTTAAAAATCTGGGGTCAGGTATTTACTATTTACCTAAAAAAATGTAAAGGGTTCTGTGGAACCATGCGTCTCTTTTGCCATTGCAGCTGTCAGTGTAAAAGTGTAATGTTGATAAAGACCAAAAATAAGACCATTTATTACATGTATTAGTAAATTACAGAAAAATGAAAAACATTGTTATCGTTTTGTTAACCCTGGATGATAACATTTTAACTTGGACACAGGATCTTTATTTTAATCAGATTGAACTTTAAAATGCTCCTTATTCTTATTCTAACATATTTCAAGCAATTTTTCCACCCTTTTTTCAATGCCATTAAAAAGTTATCCTCGTATAATGGGTTTTCGTGCTATTAAGAATGCATTGTGACGTCACAATTTCCATTGAAAAAGCATGCATAGTACGAATTCACATGACTTACGAAAACATAGGATCTGACCATAATGTTCAAAAGCACTAACATGCAAAAGTGGGAGAGTTGGGGTTTATATTTTTACTTAAATAAACAACAGTGCTGCCCTTGTGCACATGACAAAATTATCAGATTACCGGCGTGAACAAACTTTTTAAAAGGAAGTTGCCCATTTTTTTTATGATTTGACATTTATCTTATCATGTTTCATATCATCCTACAACCTTTGACCTTTGTCTATTTGCTTCATAGCATCCTCCAGACAGATAATCTAACCTTGTTTCATAGCATTCTCCAACTTTTGACCTTTATCTTATCTTATTTCATAGCATCCTCCAAAAACCTTTGACCTTTATCTTACCTTGTTTCATATTATCCTCCAGACAGATAAGTACAGTTGCCCTCTTTGTATCAGGATCCTTAGTTTGACCATGTTTAAAACATTCATATTTTTGTATGTCTTTGCGGCAAGCAACATAGAACTTTTTTTCTACTTTGACATCTTCAGCTATTTCTCTCTGTCTTCTTTGTAACTTTTCTTTACACTGAAAAAATAGAATTCTAAATTTGTCTTATTGTTACATTAAAGGGTAACTAGTAAAAGATTTAAAGATTTAGCAACACAGATTTGAACTTTGAATAGTTAGCAACAAATAATTAAATTTCAATTTGATTGGGACATTAGTTGTGTAGCAAGAGCATATGAACCAAACACATCTCCATCCAGGCCATTAATTTGAAATGTCTTCTCCCTTCTCTTAATTTGAACTTATCAGGAGTTTATATCACTTGAAATCAACAAATTACACTGAAGATGAGAAAAGATTTTAATTTTGATTGATTGATTGATTGTTGGTTGCTTAACGTCCAGTGGCAAATATTTCATGCATATTCAGGACGAGAGTTTAATTTTGAAATTTATGTATCTTTTTTAATTCTTTTGAAAGCAACTTGTATTCTAAAGCAAATCTTATTTATTGTTTTGTCTGAAAAGGGAAAAGTTTTTACAAAATCAAGGACACCATAAAGTAATGATGTTACGTCTGAGATGTGTATCTTCTTGTGATGCATTAAAAATAGAAAAACCGGCCATTCCTCCACGTCAAAATCAGATTTTTATTTTATTTTTTTGAGGATGAATGGTGAATATGACCATGATGACCTTCTGTTGTTACATTTTAGGGACACACAATTTTGAATATTTGTACCAGTCATGTATTGACTAAAACATAGATTACTCCTACATGCACATGTACCTTAAATGTACATAAACTGCATATGTAAACATATGTAAACATGAAAACAATCATTTGATTTCCATTATTTTACATGTAACAGCTTATGATTATGACTTACCTTGATGTAAATAATATTTGTTTTTTCTTGTTTTTCCTAGTATATATTATATAATGTTTGTTTTTTAATCTTTCACAGTAAATTATGTTCAGGATTTAATAAGATTGAACAAATATATCAATGATATGAATGAAATAATCAAAAACTGATATAACCATCCAAAATGGTTTCATATCTATGAATGTCGGTGAAATTAATTCGCATTTCATAGTTTTTGTTAAATATTTCTGTTATAATTATAATCAAATAGATTCTTTCAGCAACGTCATTTTAGTGACTTTTACAGCATTAGCACTGTCACTTATATTTTAATTGAGTTCATGCTCATCCGTAACATTATCAAATGATTATGGTGAAGCATTCACTATTTTGTGAACCATAACAAAATCAAACAAGCATTCTGTGAGTATTGCCTGGCAATACATAGTCCCCTACCAGTTAAAAATTCATTGTATTGGAACAAAATGCTAACTTGATCTATAACTTGTCCTGGTGTAAACTATATAACAAATATCAAGTCAATATCTTCAAGCATGACAAAAAAAAATGTGGAAAATTGATTTGAGTGAATTTTCTAAGTCCAAGGACCATAACTCTGCACAAAATTATCACACCGGAACAAAATTTAAACTTGATCTGTAACTTGTCATGATAAAACTATATACCAATCATCAAATCAATATCTTCAAGCATGACAAAAAAAAAGGTGCGGAAAACTGATTATTTGAGTGAATTTTCTAAGTCCAAGGACCATAACTCTGCACAAAATTGTCAGACCGGAACAAAATTCGATCTTGATCGATAACTTGTCATGATTAAACAATACACCAAATATCAAATCAATAAAAAAAGAACAAAAGTGTGGAAAACTGATTTGCTGGACGGATTGACAGAGGGACAGACAGACAGACAGACAGAGTGCAAATCTTAAGTCCCCTTCGACTTCGTACGTAGGGGACTAATTAGCCACGTTTCATATTGTATGTATTTACAAAATCAAATCAGAGGAACATTGATATTGAACATTACTTTTTACAAATATTGTAACACTGATCTGTTTGCCTCATATGAATGGGACTGTTATCAAATTATTTTAACAAATGAAGCTAAAGTATTTGTATGAAGATAACAGCAGTATGTGGTATTACAATTGATAATACAGATTAAATTCAGTAAACACAGACTGAATCTATTTACCTGTATTGACATATCTTGATAAATCAGTTAACACAAGACTGAATCTATTTACCTGTATTGACATATATGGATAAATCAGTAAACACAGACTGAATCTATTTACCTATATTGACATATATGGATAAATCAGTAAACACAGACTGAATCTATTTACCTGTATTGGCATGTCTGGATAAATCAATTAACACAGACTGAATCTATTTACCTGTATTGGCATATCTGAATAAACTCAGTAAACTAGGGATGTCAACGAGTACTCGAGTATTCGAGTATCGCTCGGTAGTACCGAGTATGGAATACAAAAACGATACTTGACTAATCGGTTTCCTGTTAGAATGTTGCTGTCTTCTTTATACAAAATTAGTCTTCTTGAGAACTTCTTTCGGAAAATTAAATAGGCATCACTGAATAATCATACTAGTAAATAAAAACATTTTGTTTCAAATGCTTGCGCTAAATTATCATTTAAAATGCCTCCGAAAATACGTTGGCTATACCTAGGCTAACACTTTAAACTAAACATGTCTTAGCCATTCCGTCACATCGGTATCGTCAGAGAAAACATTTTTGTCTGAAAGACTGTAATTTACAAAGTTGCAAAACCGACTGTCCCCAATAATAGTTGACAAGATAATATTTCCAAATAGAATAAATTCGTTGCATCGTCTGATGACCCTCAGTGAATAGTTAAACTTCTAATCCTTACACCTTTGTAAGCAGTAAATGTGTTTTCTTAACGATTACCAAATACTATTGTTTGATATGGTTTTTCCTTGTGATTTCTAAATAGGTGCTCATTAAATTATTTGATTAGATTATTGTTGGTTTTCTTAATTAGTACTTGTAGCTAATGAGCTATTAATTAAGGTGTGTAATTCCTTGTCCCATTTTCTTATGTAGATGGTTTTTCATCCGTTGAACAACAAACCACAGAATGTAAATACGTGTTTCCGTGTTGTAGATATTTCCCGAGCAAGTACTCGAGTATCGCTTGATAAATCCAACGAGTACTTGATTAGTAATTGTTTACCGAGTTGACATCCCTACAGTAAACACAGACTGAATCTATTTACCTGTGTTGGCATATCTGGATAAACTTTGTAAACACAGACTGAATCTATTTACCTGTATTGGCATATCTGGATAAACTCAGTAAACACAGACTAAATCTATTTACCTGTATTGGCATATCTGGATAAACTCAGTAAACACAGACTAAATCTATTTACCTGTATTGGCATATCTGGATAAACTCAGTAAACACAGAATGAATCTATTTACCTGTGTTGGCATATCTGGATAAACTCTGTAAACACATACTAAATCTATTTACCTGTATTGGCATATCTGGATAAACTCAGTAAACACAGAATGAATCTATTTACCTGTATTGGCATATCTGGATAAACTCAGTAAACACAGACTAAATCTATTTACCTGTATTGGCATATCTGGATAAACTCAGTAAACACAGAATGAATCTATTTACCTGTATTGGCATATCTGGATAAACTCTGTAAACACAGAATGAATCTATTTACCTGTATTGGCATATCTGGATAAACTCAGTAAACACAGACTGAATCTATTTACCTGTATTGGCATGTCTGGATAAATCAATTAACACAGACTGAATCTATTTACCTGTATTGGCATATCTGAATAAACTCAGTAAACTAGGGATGTCAACGAGTACTCGAGTATTCGAGTATCGCTCGGTAGTACCGAGTATGGAATACAAAAACGATACTTGACTAATCGGTTTCCTGTTAGAATGTTGCTGTCTTCTTTATACAAAATTAGTCTTCTTGAGAACTTCTTTCGGAAAATTAAATAGGCATCACTGAATAATCATACTAGTAAATAAAAACATTTTGTTTCAAATGCTTGCGCTAAATTATCATTTAAAATGCCTCCGAAAATACGTTGGCTATACCTAGGCTAACACTTTAAACTAAACATGTCTTAGCCATTCCGTCACATCGGTATCGTCAGAGAAAACATTTTTGTCTGAAAGACTGTAATTTACAAAGTTGCAAAACCGACTGTCCCCAATAATAGTTGACAAGATAATATTTCCAAATAGAATAAATTCGTTGCATCGTCTGATGACCCTCAGTGAATAGTTAAACTTCTAATCCTTACAACTTTGTAAGCAGTAAATGTGTTTTCTTAACGATTACCAAATACTATTGTTTGATATGGTTTTTCCTTGTGATTTCTAAATAGGTGCTCATTAAATTATTTGATTAGATTATTGTTGGTTTTCTTAATTAGTACTTGTAGCTAATGAGCTATTAATTAAGGTGTGTAATTCCTTGTCCCATTTTCTTATGTAGATGGTTTTTCATCCGTTGAACAACAAACCACAGAATGTAAATATGTGTTTCCGTGTTGTAGATATTTCCCGAGCAAGTACTCGAGTATCGCTTGATAAATCCAACGAGTACTTGATTAGTAATTGTTTACCGAGTTGACATCCCTACAGTAAACACAGACTGAATCTATTTACCTGTGTTGGCATATCTGGATAAACTTTGTAAACACAGACTGAATCTATTTACCTGTATTGGCATATCTGGATAAACTCAGTAAACACAGAATGAATCTATTTACCTGTATTGGCATATCTGGATAAACTCAGTAAACACAGACTAAATCTATTTACCTGTATTGGCATATCTGGATAAACTCAGTAAACACAGAATGAATCTATTTACCTGTATTGGCATATCTGAATAAACTCTGTAAACACAGAATGAATCTATTTACCTGTATTGGCATATCTGGATAAACTCAGTAAACACAGACTAAATCTATTTACCTGTATTGGCATATCTGGATCCATCTTATGTTTAAACAAACATTCATAAACTCTTCCATTGCCAGACGGTGTCTTTTGACAGAAATGTTCCCTGGCATCCCGACATGCATAATATAAAGGTCTATCCATGTGATAGTCATCTGACTGTAGTTCGGCCACTCGTAGAAGCTGATGTTTACATTGTTGTGACAGTTTAGTTATGTTCCTCACGAGACATTCAAGAACTGCTCCTTGCCTGTGTACAGAGTCCTTTTAATTAAAATATTTTACTGATTATTTACTGGAACAAAACAATATTAATTCATCTTTATTCGAAAAAAAACAATCTGTGAATATTTGTTTAAAATATACAAAACATACTGAATTAAGAAGAAAAAAACCAAGAATTCATGATGAACTAAATTCTATATATAATACTAGATTTTCTACCCCAGGAATAGATTACTTTAGCTGTTTTCTACCCCAGGAATAGATTACTTTAGCTGTTTTCTACCCCAGGAATAGATTACTTTAGCTGTTTTCTACCCCAGGAATAGATTACTTTAGCTGTTTTTTTGTTGTTTTGATTTTTATCAATCTGAACACACCAATGATCAAAATCAGCAAGGGTAAAAAAGTTGTAAAACAAAACAGTTTTTCATTTATAAAACAACTACTTAATTGAATTTCTACAACTTTTGAGTTACTATCAAAAAGTTTTTGTTCACTTTATATGTTTTATGTTCATTTGTGAAATAGTTTGTCTTTTTGTCATGTTCTATCTATAATTCTGTTCCTGGTATTCTATAAATTTTACCTCTTTTTCTACAGTTTCTAATCTTCCACATGTAAATCTCTGGATATCATCATGACATGCATCAGCGAACTTATATATCAACGAATAGTCGCTGAAGACAATTTTAGACATTTTTTCTAGGTATCTGCGACATTCTTTTGCTTGAACTGACTGATAATTGTCAACCAGACATGGAATTATTTGTCCGCTACCCTTTGGCAATTGATTGCACTCTTGTAGCTGAAATATAAAAAATCATAGATTCTTATTCAATAATCTGTTGCACTCTTGCAGCTGAAATATAAATAAAATGCTCCGCTGGGGGCAGCTTGATACAAACGCAGAGGTCGAATCCTGAACAGTTGGGGCAAGTATGGACACAACATTCAAGCTTGATACAGCACTGAATTTGGTTTGTGATTAAATATTTGACACAGCATAGGTTTCTGACACAGAATGAATGTGGTCTAAGAACTTAAAATTTTTAATTAACCTATTCAAACCATATCATTATTATTTGCTTTTATATATAAATTAGAAATAACCAATTTTAAATGGAAAATATTAAAGAAAAAAAGGAAAAAAAAATCCCCCCTCCAATTTTTGGAACCCCCTTATGATTCATCACCCCCAAACTCAATCCCAGCCTTCCCTTTGTGGCATGGTACCTTGCAGTACAATTTCAGAGAGATCCATACACTTGAACACAAGTTATTGTCTGGAAACTAGAAAAATGCTTATTTTTGGACCCTTATTCCTAAACGTTTTAGGCAATTACCCCCAAAATCAATTCCAGCTTTCCCTTTGTGATATGGAACCTTGTAGTACAATTTCATAAAGATCCATACACTTACACACAAGTTATTGTTCTGAAACTAGAAAATTGCTTGTTTTTTGCCCCTTTTTAGGCCCCTAATTCCTAAAATTTTGAGGTAATTACCCCCAAAATTAATCCCAGCATTCCCTTTGTGATATGGAACCTTGTGGTATAATGTCAGAGAGATCCATACACTAACACACAAGTTATGTCTGGAAGTTACAAAAATGCTTATTTTTGGCCCCTAATTCCTCAAATGTTGGTACCATAACCCCCCAAAATCAACCCCAACCTTCCTTTTGTGATATTGAACCTTATGGTAAAATTTCATAGAGATCCATTTACTTAAACTAAAGTTAGAGTGGGAAAACCAATGTGTCTTCGGACGACGAAAACGATGACGCCAACGTCATACCAATATACGATTTTGCCGTCGTATAATAAAAACAAGTGAATTTGTGAGCTACTGCTCACTAATGATACCCCCGCCCTGCCAAAAGTATAAGGTAAACAGAAAGTTGTTGAGTGATAAATCTGAAAACGCATCACACTGTGTAGCTGACTCATATAAACCCTGAAACCAAATTTCAGAAATCCTTGTAATGTAGTTTCTGAGAAAGATGGGACGAAAAATATTCATGGGACGGACGGACAGACTGACGGATGGACGGACAGAGGTTAAACAGATTACCCTACTTTTTTAAAGCAGGGGTATAATCATAAATTCTTGTTTAACAATGCAATCTGTTGATGCAATACACAAAATCATGGATTTAAAATTAACAATCTGTTGCATTTGTTCAACTGAAATAAACAAAATTGTGTATTCATATTACAAATGTATTAGCAGGATTATATACAGGAATTGATGAAGAAAGTATCAAAATGTCAGCTAAAGTACAAACAAGTTGATTTAATTGAAAATTATTCCTGGTGGTGAATTTTCATTGCTGATATGAACCTTTGATTTAAATTTCATAAATATCTAGCAAGAATTTTACATTTGAGAGCACTTACAATGCAATTTTCTATAGAACTTTCATTTCTAAGGGACATAATTCCAGTAAAAAAATTGATCAGAGCTGATTTTCAAAATTGTTCGAGACATTGTTGATATAAACCTTAAATTTAAATTTCATAACAATCCTTAGTACATGAAATGTAGGCTTGAGCGCGCTTACAACAAAATTTTCTGTGATTCATTTTTATTAGTGTTAGTCAAAATTTTTGTGGATTTCATGGGTATAGGCCTAGGTAAACCACGAATTTGAATGTTTAAGGAAGTTAAAAATTCTGTACGTTTGAATGCAGACTTTGTCAAAGCCAAGAAATCAAATATTCACAAAAATACAATTTTTCTTCAATCCATTAAAATTGGTCCCTATGAATATAAACGAATTCTCAGTAATAAATAATTTGAAGGGGCATAACTTCTTTAAAAATACTTGTTTGGAACTGATTTTCAAACTTATATGAGAAATTGCTGATATAAACATTTGATTAGAATTTCATAAAAATCTGGCATGAATTTTACATGTGAGAGTGCCTTCATGACTGAACTAGCAGACAGAGGGACACCTTGTATTGTTATGTCATCCGCAATGCTTCGTGCAGAGGACAATAAAGGTTTTACTATAAGTATCATAATAACTTAAAATTATTGATGATTAATATAACTAAGGTCAGTCAGATGAAGATATACACTTTACAATCATCCATACACTAAATAAAGCTGACTTATTGTTTATAATATCTGAGCAACAGACCTAGCCACTAAAATTGAACTTTGACAATTGAACCCTGCGATGTACACGTAACAATTGTTCCATGTATGATCAATAAGTAGTGGGTCAATTAGAGAACAGTCCTAACAAACAATTTTATACCATCTGCTGTTAAAATACTAGGAAAACAATTATTGATTGACTGTTGTTGTTATCATAGTTTACATATGCTCTTCCAACATTTTCCTGTATGTGGTTTTAACTCATGTACATATGTATTAAAAAACATTTATCCCGCAATTTTATACAAATTTATAATTCCCAGCTGTTGTTTCATTTTTTACAGAAATCAAACTATAAATGACCGAGACTTTGACCTTGTTTTCAATCTGACTTATCCCTTAATTGATAACAACAAAATAGTGGAAAGAAACTTTTTTCTGCATTTATGCATAACAATTCTCCAATCATATATCACGGTAGAAAGGAAGTTATGAAAGGAAATAGAAAACAGAAGGCTTCTTATATATTTTTATTGTGTTAGACAAAATCTGTTGTAAAAATGGTAACTGCAAAAAAGTGATCTGATTAGTGTCCTGTACCCCATCCCTTGCCCCCCGTTTCTACCAAGAATTAACAGTGTTTTTATCATAAATATATTATTTTAATTTGATAAGATTTGATCTGTGTTTTACATAGAAGCGTTCTCCACAAATATTTCATATACAGCATCCTGATAAATACAGACTTTGAAATACCATTTTGTTTCAAGAAATTATAGCATCACCATTTTTTAAGGGAAAAAAATCACATAGCATGACATTCCAGTAATAGCCCTGGAGCACTACATTCCAGTAATAGCCATGGAGCACCACATTTCAGTATAGCCCTGGAGCACCACATTTCAGTAATAGCTCTGGAGCATGACATTCCAGTAATAGCCCTGGAGCACTACATTCCAGTAATAGCCCTGGAGTAATAGCCCTGGAGCATCACATTCCAGTAATAGCCTTTGAGCACCACATTCCACACTGGAATAGCCCTGGAGCACAACATTCCAGTAATAGCCTAGGCCTGGAGCACCACATTTCAGTAATAGCCCTGGAGCACCACATTCCAGTAATAGCCCTGGAGCACCACATTCCAGTAATAGCCCTGGAGCACCACATTTCAGAAATAGCCCTGGAGCACCACATTCCAGTAATAGCCCTGGAGCACCACATTTCAGTAATAGCCCTGGAGCACCACATTCCAGTAATAGCCCTGGAGCATCAAATTTCAGTAATAGCCCTGGAGCATCACATTCCAGTAATAGACCTGGAGCACCACATTTCAGTAATAGCCCTGGAGCACCACATTCCAGTAATAGCCCTGGAGCACCACATTCCAGTAATAGCCCTGGAGCACTAGGATGGATGGTTTGCTGTTTAACATCCAGAGAGAAATTTACTTGCATATTCAGGGAGAGAACATGTTTACAGGATATGAATATGGACCCTGCTTTGTACTATATGTACTAAAACACACTGGTTACAGTCATCAACAAGACACATCACATTATTACATGTATAATTACTCCAAGCTGACCATTCTTTTGATCTTATTCCTAAATGCTACACGCTTAGTGTCAAATAACATTTTGCAGATCTGATCCCTGCCTGGGATCGCAACAACACTCTCCCCTTCGTAAGGCAAGCATGCTAAATGTATGATAAGATCATTTAGGGTTTTTTTGTGTTATAGGAGTTCACACATAAAAATTGCTTATTACTAATTCAATATTTGTTCTCTATTCATTTAAAATTTGGTTACTGGAGGTTACCTGTGGCAGATCATCCTTACAGACATCATTTGCAACCATTTCAAATCTGTCATCTTTGGTCAAATTTTTCTTATAGTTCCAAAGAAGCTGAAAAGAAATGTAAAATAAATTTAAGGAATATATATCTTTATGTATATGTGAACTTATCTAATGTATGTTACCATCCATGTCCCTTTCTTAAAAAAAAAGTTGTGTCTTCCAAGAAAGACTTGTGTCACCTGAGATCTCCATACATACCAATGTAAGCTGAAATAGCAATGCCCATGTTTTGGTCTGGAAAAAACCAAAAAATCAAATAAATAAAAAATTCAAGTAGCAGATGCACAATTTCCTGTCCTCTAGAATACTCAGTGCAAGTTTGGTTGAATTATGTCCAGCACTTTTAAAGGAGTTGATCTAAGTCCATGTTTTGGTATGGGAAATTCCAAAATCACAGATCAAAAATTAAAATAGCAGGTCATGACATCATGGCCAGTAGTGATCCCTCTGTTGTAGATAGTTTAATGCAGAATTAAATGTTTTATACTATTCTGGTTTATTATCACTTATGGCTCTACATCCTACAAACAACAATGTTTCCAATTACACAAGGTCAAGCTATCTTTACAATTTTAATGATATATTCATACTTAATTTATTGACCAGTCATTGAAAATGTGATCTATTTACAATGTTTCAGTTGGACTACATCACTGACAAACATGTATTAACCCCACCATGTTTCTTTATGTGCCTGTCCCAAGTCAGGATCCTGTAGTTGGTTGTCGTTAGTTAGTTCATGTCTGTCATATTTGTTTTTCATAAATTATTTTTTTATAAATTAGGCTGTTAGTTTTCTCAATTGAACTGTTTTATATTTTTCATGTCGGGGACTGTTATAGACAACTAAATAGTGTGGGTTTTTCTCATTGTTGAAGGCTGTACGATTGCCTATAATTGCTTACATCCACTTCATTTGAACTCTGGTGGGCAGTTGTCTCATTGGCAATGATACCACATTTCCTTATTTTTTTATTGAAGTTTCAACTAGCTTCCATCAACTGTGGGTACTTTATGTCTCTCCAGGACTAACACTATTTCAGAATCACAGGCAGAAATGTATATCTCTTTTTGTGGCTGAAATGGAGAAGTCACATGAAAAGGAAGTGCTAACACCATGAACTGGTTCAACTGTTTTTTTTTTTATTGTAATGACTTGTTTACAATGTACTAATATATCCATACATGTACTTAAATCTAACATGACTACATGTATTTTGCTTTTTTTATCCTTACATTTGTTTTCTTTTATTTTTCTCCCCTGATACATGAATCTTTCATTCTGTATCCAGGATGTGTACAGACTAATATACTGTGACAGTCTCAAATTAAAGGACAAGCTAACTGAAAACGTTATCAAGTAGTCTTTTTGTTATTTGTATTTACAACATTTAATTTGATGTCAACAATAAATTTCAGATATGACACATAATATATCAACATTAATAAAAGTTAAGGAAATGTAAGGGAAATTTTTTACTTGATTAATGATAGCTATAATTATCCTTGTACCAGGATTTGGTAGTTTTTTCTTTAGTATAACTTATTATATATATATTCCATTTGAATTTTTTTATATGTTTTGTATTTCATATTTGTAATTTACATTTTACATTGATGTAATTATTTTCTAGGCATTGCCTCATTTTTTGGGATGCCTTGTCTTTCAGGTCGTAGAGTTCGTAGAGTTGTTTTTATCAGTTCAGTAAACACACATGTCACATGTGCCATTTTTACTACAAAAATGTTAAGAATAGAACATAACAAAAAATCTCAATAGATGAAACATAGAGGCAGGCTCAATTCTGCAAGAACTTACTAATTAATGAATAAATGTAAATTCAGAAATTATTGGGAGGGTTTTATTAATGGGAATAATGCAAATATTTTAGTATTGCAATAATAAGAACTAGCATTCTGAAATCTGTTAAATATATATGTATGCAGATTTTTCTGAAATCGCAATAGTTAATCTCGCTTTTGTGTCCATTCTTGAAAAATCAAAATAATAAATGCATGCAACAATTTCTGAATTTACAGTATGCTTTTTTTTGGAATATGCATGAAAAAGAAATGTGGGTTATACATCAATGATTTGATTTAATTATTTATCATCCAGTGGCAAGTATTTCGTGCTGCATATGCAATGAGACAGCAACCTAAGACAAAGATAACAAACTTAAAGCTCTTTAAGAGCCTGTGTTGCTAACCTAGATATATGAGCATCTTTAACAATAATGGCCACTCTCCTCTTCAACACTTGTAGACTAGAATATAATTTTTTAGTTGATCATGTTCTACTGATAGTTTTTAATGTTTACAGTTTTTATCTTCTATAGTTTTTGCTAAACATGAAAAAAGAATAAAAATTGTCATTTAAGGGCAATAACTCCTAAAGGGAATAGTCAAAATTGTCATTTAAGGGCAATAACTCCTAAAGGGAACAGTAAAAATTGTCATTTAAGGGCAATAACTCCTAAAGGGAATCAACTAACAACTTCTGCTATTGACTTATTTATAGATCTAGTGGGCAGGGTCGAAAAATGATCATCAAACTGATATGTACTGGTTGTAATGCAACTTTATACAAAATATCAATGATCTATCACAAGTAGTTCCTATCAAATTAACTTAACTTAAGCAGAAAACTTAACATTGAAAATTGTTAATACAAAGTCACTGGATCATGACCAGCAGCCGGTTGTAAGAACGTGAAACATTAGCCTAATGAGTCATTAAGTCTTCATTAAGCCTTTATGATGCATTAGGCTAATGAAGACTTAATGACTCATTAGACTAATGACACATTCATACAACCGGCTGCAGGGGGCAGGGCCTCGAAATAGTCAGCAAACTGATATTTACTGATAGTAATGCAACTTCATATTAAAAATCAATGATCTATCACAAGTAGTTCCTATCAAATTAACTTAAGCAGAAAACTTAACATTGAAAATTGCTAATTAATTCAAAGTTGCTGGACCATGACCTAGGAGGCAGGTCCTCGAAACAGTTGTCACACTGATATGTACTGATAGTAATGCAACTTTATATTAATATATCAATGATCTATCACAAGTAGTTCCTATCAAACTAAATTAAGCAGAAAACTTAACAATTGTTGAATCCCTATGTCTAGCTTTCCCTGACTTTTGTTGCAGGCGAGACAAAAGTTGGTAAAATCATCTTTAAAGGGCAGTTATTTCAGTAAGGAGTGGACTAACAATTTCAACTATCTTTAATTGTAGTTCTTGTATTGTTGATTATTTTTGCTATTTATTTAAACTTTCTCTTTATTTTAAACTTTTATATACTAAGCATTTTAAGATATAAGGCAAAAATGAACAAAATGGTAAAATTCGTCATATTATGTCAAGGTACCGTAAATGAACTGTCACAGATTTTGGTAAAACTTTGTATACAACTTTGGCTTGTTGAACTTAATCTTTAGATGGAATAAATATTGCATTTATATCTTTTATTTACTGAAATATTACTTAATGATTTCTTTCAAAATAGGTAAATTATAAACATTTGTATAGAAAGAACATGAAATTGGACAAAAAGTTCTCAAATTTGTCTTAAAATCATCAAATCTCCAATTACTAATTCATAGATTTAAAAAAAAACCAATATTTTGTTGATACAGGGATTTCTGACAGACATCCACGACAGATGAAGGATGCCAAGTAATTGGATTTATAAGTTCACAATGGTCCATTGGGCCAGGTGAGCTAAAAAGGAATTCTTTTATAAATGATTTTGCCTTTAAATCAGAGCATATCAACATTGAGATTACTGAGTGCTTTTAAACTTCTGTACAATACTTCAAATATTGATAAATTATACCTACATTGTACCTTCAAAACTATCAAAAAAAATAAAACTTACATGTTGGCAATCTATAGATACTTCATCTGCAATCTGAAATAAACATATATAAAACATTAATAAAATGCATTGCAATCAACTATGTAATATGTATACATTGTTAGCCACTTTGCAATATTTATACATTGTAAGCCAATTTGTAATAGGTCAAGGTCAGATGAACCCTGCCAAACTGACATGTACACCTTATAATCATTTCATACACCAAATATAGTTGAATTATTCATTATAGTATATGAAACTGACAAAATTGTGAAACTTAACATCGACCAATGAACTATGAAATGAGGACAAGGTCAGATGAACCTGGCCAGTAAGACATGTACACCTTATAATCATTGATTCCATAACCAAATATGGTTGATCTATTGCTAATAGTATCTGATAATCTGACAAAACCACAAAAAGTTAACTCATCAATGAACCATGAAATAAAGGCTAAGGTCAGATAAAACCTGCTAGTTGGACATGAACACCTTAAGCTTACAATCATTCCATACACCAAATATAGTTGATCTATAGCTTATAATATCAAAACTACAAAAATCAACATAGTTCAATGAACCATGAAATAAAGGTCAAGGTCAGATGAAACCTGCCAGTCTGACATGTTTACCACAATCATTCCATACACCAAATAGTGTTAACCTATTGCTTATAATATATGAGATATGAGATACTGACTTGACAATGAAGACTAAACCTGTCAGATTACTGAAATGAGAAATGAGGTCGAGGTCAGGTAAACCCTGCCTGACAGTCATCTAAATCTTGCAAGGATTCCATATACCAAATATATTTATCCTATTACTCATAATAAGTGAGTATTTCACATTACAAAATAAAATAATCCACAGAATGCAGCTTGATATGACCACAGAGGTCAAATCCTGATCAGTTGGGGCAAGTATGGACATAACATTCAAGCTTATACAGCTCTGAATTTGGATTGTAATTAAATATTTGACACAGCATAGGTTTCTGACACAGAATAAATGTGGTCTAAGAACTTAAAAATTTTAAAGTGGACATTTACCTATTATGGTCCAATATCCAAAATCTATAAAATACATGGTTAGATTCACCATATCAAAAGTTTTATATTGGACCCTTTGGACACCAAAGACACCAAAATGTGCTGTTATTTGAAAAACATGTATATTTTAAAATATCAAAATGGTGAAATATAACAAAAGATGTTATTATTTCTTTTCAGAAACAAAAGTGCAAATGTTTTGGACAATTCTCAATTCAATGGAAATTCACACCACTGGGGATTTGACCGCCTTAATTAATGTCCCCAAGATTTAAGTTTGTGAATAGGATTTAAGAAGCCATACATTATTAAATTATCCTCTACATTGTCAAAAATAATCAGACATTAGGTGTTTAAATTTCTTTAAATCAACAAAATAAAATGAAATGAAAAGACCTAAAATAAAGAGAAGTCAAGGACTCATTATTATGTGAGTGACCATAATAAGTTCATTGTGCTAAGTTGAAAGTTAAATTAAATACTAGAAATGAATTATGTTTATATTATTTCAAAAGTTTAGGTATTACCATATAGACATCAATAATGCTATTCTCCTGTTTTATTTAGAATTAGGAAAATCTATCTGTATTAAACATATCAGAATAGATTTTTTTTCATGTATATTTTTTTTCTTAGTACCTGAATTACAAATACATGTTATTGAAAAATTGCTCAATTTTGTGAGAAATATCAATTTATAATTGGTATAGCTATCAAGCATTACACTGACCAGCTGCTGACCATTGGCGATGTCCTAATTTACAATTTTTATTTAACCTGGCAGCAAAGAAATACTGCTGGCAATTTTACTGGCACCTTTAATTACTGTAAATTCAGAAATTATTGTGTGCAATTATTATTGCGATTTTGTCATTTTAGACTTAAATGCGATTTTAATTTTTAAGATTTTGAGAAAAATCCTGTTTAGTTCATACAAAATATTTCAAAATGCGAGTTTAAATTATTGGGTTTACAACTCGGTCGCATTTGTCGCAATAATAAAAACCTCGCAATAATTTCTGAATTTACAGTAATTAACCTTTTCTGATGAAAACAATACACCGAAACATTTCATCATTTGCCCTGGTGTTTGATCAGTTTTCACCATGAGTCCCCAAAAAATATATGTTGGTTTCCTCCCTTCAGATGACCCTACAAATGTATGTTTGAAAATTGACCCTTCAATATTTCATTACTTTTCCAAAAATCTATTCATGAAATCGCATTTTGTGTTTTAAGACTAATAAACTGTTAACACAGAGATATGTCTCGCCTATTTGTTATTTTGATAATGCAAATGTTGAAATTAAAATAGCAATACTTTAACATGTAAGTTATGCAAATATTCAAAGTCAGTGAACCATGACTGAAGGTACAGGGCTAAACAATCTGCATGGAAATGAGATGTGCCAATGCTAATACAGCTGCCAGAGATATTGTTGTCTTTTTCAAAACTACCTCTACCGTTTTTTATTGGGAAAAATGCATATTTTTTATTGAAATTGGGAAATTTGTATATTTTATTCTAAACACATCTCCCATTTTTTGCTGACCTTTGCTGTCTTTTTTGCACTGTTTTTTTCATGTATATTTTGGTTGTCAGACATTTTCCTCAACCTGAAAGGTACTTTTCGGAGAGGGGAAAGAAATAGAAGCAATGATGGTACTTAATGCATTGAATACACATGTGTTACAAACACCATGATGATTTTGATCAGAAAACCAGATCTTAAAAGTGCTTTCTAATATCAAAATACATGAATACGATATTTACAAACATTGCTACCAATGCCATCACTGTTCGGGGGGAAATGTAAAACGTTTTGGGAGGAATTTTTAGCCATATTTTTTAATAATTGGGAATTTTCTGTAGGGGAAAAAGCCGAATTTCGGCTGTAATTTGAGGCAAACAATATCACTGACTGCAAACCAAATACCATTGACTTTTCATAAGTCGTTCCCTTTAAACAAACCTAAACACAAACATTAACTTGTAAACTATGTAAAAGTTTCAAAGTCAATGAACCATAATTTGGTGGTGGGGTTATAAAATCTCCATGGAAATGAAACTTGCAAATGCCAATACATTTGCATACCGAATATAATTGACTTAACATTAGTGGTTCATCTTAAACTGACCTAATCACAAACTAATACATTTAAACTAAGTAAAAGTTTCAAAGTCAATAGACCATGACTGAGGGGTAAGGACCAAATATTCTCCATGGAAATGAGATGTGCTAATGCTTATACAACTGCATACCGATTATCATTGACCTACCACTAGTGGTTTCTCATAAACTGACCTAATCACGAACTAATACATGAAAACTAAGCAAAGTTTCAAAGTCAATAGACCTTGACTGAGGGGGCGGGGCCAAAAAATCTCCATGGAAATGAGATGTGCCAATGCTAATAAAACTGCATACCAAATATCATTGACCTACCACTAGTGGTTCCCCATAAACTGACCTTATCACAAACTAATACATGTAAACTAAGCAAAGTTTCAAAATCAATAGACCTTGACTGAGGGGGCGGGGCCAAATAATCTCCATGGTAATGAGATGTGCCAATGCTAATACAACTGCAGACCAAATATCACTGACCTACCACTAGTGGTTCACCATGAACTCGACCCAATCACAAACTAATACATTGTTGACGCCGCTGCCGCCGGAAACAGCATACCTATGTCTCACTTTTTGACTCAGTCAAGGCGAGACAAAATTGCTAATAGAATTTATGCTAACTTAATAGACAACTAATAAATTGCCCAAAATTGAGTGAAAAAGTTGTCAAAACATTGCAAACTGCAAAAGTTTCATTGTTCATGCTTTAATAACTTGAGGTAAGTAGTGTATATTGGAATTGGAAAACATGTGATTTACCTAGGCCTGGATTCTGTTTATAAGAAAAAGAAAACGAAAAAATCAAACTTTCCCCTTATATACCTGTCTTTATGCCAGGAAAACAAACTTATGTCATGTGTACCAATATTTCTCTAATTCTTCGTCAATTTATCCCTTTCTGCACCCATTGTATAAAAAAAATTTAATCAACGTGTTGTTCGTTTGATCTTAGTTCTTCATTGGTTAAAATCCGATTATTTTCTCGCTTTCCTCTGAATTTCCTATTGTGACGGCATGAAAAAAGGCGACCATGCCTGATGACGTCACATAGAAAGAGCACATCTTCTTGCAGATCATTCAAAAAGAAGGAATAAATTTGCCTGCGTATTGTTTGAAAATCATTAGAGAAACAGATTCCACCACCAAATCTTGTGTAATACGATATTTATCCACTCTCGACAGTTAAAATTTAACTATTTAAAACGCTTGGCGAGCCTCGCATTTTAAATTTGAAAATTTAACTGTCTCGAGTGGATAAATATCGTATCACACTCAATGCAGTGGTAGAATCTATATATATTTGGTTTTTTTAACTTATGGAAAAGGCGTTTTGAATTGTTACATGTACTTATATTATCAATGAAGTATATACCACTGAACAGACTAATTTTTTTGTCCCCAGAAGAAATACAATAAACAGCTGCGCCATGAGCGCATGATACACCCGCCGCATTTTTTACGAATAAAGTTCAATAACTTCTCAATGTCATATCAGAAATTAACGGAAAACTAAAGGGAGGTTATCTTAATTGATATTAACCAGTCACCAAAGTTTAATGAAAAGTGCTCAAAGCTCTTTAAAGGTATTGTCCGAAAACTAGAAAATCACCCCTTTTTTATGAATAAAATCCCATAACTCGGAAGTGTAAAATTTAAAATTTATAAAAATTGAAAGGGAGCCTACATCAATAGATATAAACAATTCTCCAAAGTTTCATGAAAACTGCTGAAAGTATTTTTGAGTTATTATCTGAAACTGGAAAATCACCCTTTTTTTTAAGGAATAAAACTCCACAACTCGGAAACATAAAATCTAAATTTTATAAAAAACGAAAGGGAGCTCACATCAATAGATATGAACAATT